AGACAGCAGCCAGTTACGCTGCACAGACAGCAGCCAGTTACGCTGCACAGACAGCAGCCAGTTACGCTGCACAGACAGCACAGTGCTAGTCAGTACAGCATAACAGAGAGGCAGCATTACTGCTTTACCAGTGCCTGTCCCATGTAAAACAGCAGCACACATACAATAGTAAACGGTTCGGCCAGCATTGTGATGTCATCAATGAACAGGCATGCCAACTTACCAGTGTCTGCACCATGTGAGGCCGTTGTAGCCTCAAGCTTTTGACCGTCTGGAAGACGTCAAGTATGCCCTCTGCCTTCACCCTCTCCAATACCGCGCTAAGAGCACAGAATGTTCCGGTTCGCCCCGCTCCCGCACTGGCAGAGACAGAGGGATTAGGTATATTAGATTTATATGGTAAAGTGTGTGTGTATGTATATTATATTATATTTTATAATTATAAAAAAAATTATATATACATACATTTGTATACACTGTATATATATGGCATATTTGTTTTTGTAAAGAAAATAAAAATAACTACACAGTATACATTCTAAAAAATGTCCTGAAATAAGACAACAAACCCCATTCTCATAACAACCAGACTCATATCTCATTATTTATTTGAACAAGGTGTAAATATAGGGAGTTGAAGAAAACATGATACAGTGGAGTTTGGCTATAAAACAAATAAATATAATGAAACTGATGGAAGTAAACACTTCTTTATGCATTACATGAACATACATCTTCATTCTTCCAGTGAAACCTACAGCAGCGAGGAATACATTTTGTTGGAATTAGAATTCCCAAATAAAATGCTCTTAAAGTATGCATACTTCATTTAAGACATAAAATCTAAACACGCAATCTGAACAAACACATTTTACAAGGTAAACTTTAAACTGATTTTAAAACATATATTAGCTAACCTATATAAGGAAGAATAATTAACTGCAAAGCTAGCCAAGTTTTTTTTCTACGACAGTCAGTGCAGTATGGAGTGATGAGACAGTACCTGCAGTGTACAGTGATGGGGTGGTTTCCAGACTGCTGCTGCTGCTTCTGCACTGCTCCGATGATGCTGATCATGCCTTTTCCGTCTGCTGGAATTCCCACCTCAGGCCAGCCATGGAAGTGGAACTGTCTCACAGCACGGGATTTATTTTCCTGAGACGATGAGAGAGCAGCTTAATGCAAAAAATGTTGCGTGGTATTCATAGGTGATATAGTGAATGCATAATGAAACCAAACGATGATCATGACACGTTTATAAAGAACCACTCCATAGAAATTAAAGCACACAATGAATTCACAATAAACTGAATACAAGAAACTAGAAAACATATGTTGGAAAGACAACCTTTGAATTTCCCCGGGCATTTCGGAACTTGCATATTTTTTTGGAAATACATCCAACATCATTTGGGATCAAACTCATTTTAGACGACATTTGAGTGTGTGCTTTTGTCCGGAAATTCAGACTGGGCCAAAACAAACAAAAAAAATCTTATGCTAAGTGCATACTACACGGTTTTAGCCCTGATTTTCCACTTGCTAAAAGTTTTAAGCAATGCCTAAAAACAAAAAATCCCAAATCAGAAGCAAATTGTTTTTTGCTTGGCACTGGCAAATCAGAGCTAAATCGCTATTAGTTCAACGATGCGACCAGACAGAGTCGCCGATGCATTGCAGGCTAAATATCTGGACCTGTCAGCAAATCCAAATCTTGTAGTGTGAAAAGTGTTTGCGACTGGCAATGAGTGCAGCGATGAGCTACAGCCAATGAATGGGCAAGATGGGGTGAAGTGAAAGGAGGGAGGAGTTTTAAAAAGGTGTAAATAAATGAAAGTTTACACTGAGATGATGCAGGCTTTACACTGATTTTGGTCTCTTAACAAAATCAGGCTGGGTGCAACTGGGCAAATACTGAGTATATTAGCAGTACCAAATGTGAACAACATAATTTCAGTAACCCATGTTTACACTGATGTTTAGAAACAGATTTTTTTACTCCCAGGGCAATATTAAAAGTGCCACCTTGAAGAATCACGATTTGTAACTGAAAATTGCCCCCCCCCACCCCTAGTCTTCATCCATATAATATTTTTATGTAGTAGTAATAATATCCATGAAGTACTTTTTGAATTACCACATTCACAAGGTCAAATGCCATCTGCTTCCGTTTGATGCCACTAAACAGTGTTGCTTCAGTTTTGGGGCAATTTGTCTCAAAATTTGATCAATTCCAGTTACTCAACCATAAAATATGCCACCAAAGTTTGAAAAGACCCTTCAAATAATTTTTGAGTTATCGTGCTAAGGGGATCAAGTGTCAACACTGCCATTTTTGTTGATATCACTATGCAGCACTGCTTCAGTTTTGGGGAGATCACATCCAGTTTGGCCCCCAGAGTAAGGAGATGGATGAAATAATTAAAGGCTTTTCCTTGTACACAGGATGAGTCTATTTGTCATTATTACTGTATTTACCCTGTTTGATCTTTAATGGATCTTATCACTACTAAATACTTCTTGGGTTATTGCACTAATATGAAAGTGCCTATGGTGATCCCAAAACCATATGTATTCCCCATCCAGGGAATATAATAATAAAGAAAACAATATGAGCATACACACATAATTTGATAAGCTTAATAATATACAGCTGTCACTTAAGTAATTTAAATTTACTGAGTGCATTATACATTTTAAAGCAGATAAACATTCATAACTGTCTATTCGTGGCTGTGACTTGAAATGAAAAGAAAATATATGCTTATCAATAACATACTTTTTAGTATAAATTACATTTTTATGCTATTATAATATTGTTTTATCATAAAAATACTACTGAATTTTTTAGTAGGACATTAGGGTACCTCACAACTGAGTAAAAGAAGAGTTGTAACCTGCATGTATCACTCAGCAAAAGACTGCAGTGATTGTTTACTTGCTCGGAGTCTCCACTCACCCGGTTGTTCGTGATGAGGAGGTCTCTGATGGTATAACTCTCACACTCCTCCTCTCGCTTCAGCTCAATGGACACGTCACCACACGGCATCACCCCATCGCTGGACCAGTACTGGGCACACTTCTCCTGTATGTTCAGAGGGGCTTGCTTCACTAATTCAGAGTCATTTCTTTGCAGTATAGGATCTGTGGCCACAGCGGTTGAGCCACTAGTCATGTTCTTGATCCACTGAGTTCCCTTCTCCTTCAACAATTTCTGCCTCCTATCTGTTAATTCCCTTACCTCCCCCCTTCTCCTCATATACCTTCATCCTTTCACCCACTTTCTCCCACTTTCATCCCCTACCTGTCCCCTCTCCTCCAATTCCGTCAACATGACTATGGAACAGCTCTTCCACTCCCAGATCATCCTCCAGAAATCCTCAGTGGTGTGCTGCAGTGGTCCCTGGCAGGCCATGTACGAGTCCTTTTGTCGGTATCCCTAGATGAGGCAGAAACGCAGCAGGAGACGCTGGTAACCAAGAGCTCAGCCAAGCGTCTGGTGTCTTCACATTGAGAGAATGACGAGGCAACAACCGCTCACATCTATGAAGGAGGCATTGACGTAATCTGTGTTTTCTTCACCTCTCTTGACAGGAATGATCACTCTATTGAACTCATCTGATGGGAAAGATGTGGATTACTGTAATACTGTATGGTGTCCATTTTTGTCTTGATCATATTGTTCTAAACGCATGTCAGAGGCCACATTGCCAGCTTACATGGAATGATCTGAAGGACCCTGTTCTTCTTCATATTTGCCGGCAGGTTTCCTGTCCTCATTTTGTCATTCTGGATCTTAATGGAGATCAGCTTCTAGGATTAGAAGAAAAAGACATGTAGGTCTCATTCACCGAACTGAGGATAGACCAACTGTTAAGAAAAAAAACATTCTGTGAGTGAATAGTCTTTGTGAACAAAAGTGAATAACAACAGGGTTAGGTGACGGTTATATATAAATATAAATGGAAACGAATGGAGAAAATTCCCCCAAAAAATCAGGGGTTAGCTAGGCAAGCTTGCTGGTACAAACCTTAAACTCTGCCTCCAGACCATTGCAGCCAGCCCCAGGACACTGGGAATAGAGCTTCGCCAGGTGAGATTCCAGGGATGTCACCTCAAGCTCAGTGTCACCATACAGGTAATGTTCCAGCAGGGCTTGGAAGATGAACACGTACTGCATCTGCGACAGAGAGGCATGAACAGGGGAAACATGAGTCATTTAGTGAGAACCGGCCGTATCATATTCCACTAAAGCCAACATATCACCAAAACCATTAAATGCTACATCATGAAGTCTATTCAGACCAGTTTTGACTTTAACAATTAGCCCGAAATTAAGCTCTACACCTGGACCTGCGTTGGATGTTACACCCACCTCTGTCTGCACCATCTGACAGCGCTGGGCACGGATCCGTGTCACGAAGCCAAAGACGTCCACCTTCCTCTCGGTCGCCATCATGTCCAGCATGGCGTCGATGACTATGAAAGTGCCTGTGCGGCCTACTCCCGCGCTGAAGACCAGAGGACAGGCTCAAGCCATCAGACAAGCAATGGCCCACAAGCGTAAACTGTTCAAACATGCTTAATGTGGTCTGCATGGCCTGACCAACATGAAGATGTTATCTCCAATGGATAGCACAATATGATAGCTGAGGAGATTTGGAGCTGGAGGAGCACAGAGTACACAACTGACCATGAATACACTCACCTGCAGTGGACCACAATGGCGCCAGCGTACTGGGGATTGCAAGACTTCACTTTCTTGAGAAATTTCAGCATGCCGATGGGTGTAAAAGGTACCCCGAAGTCCGGCCAGCTGGTGAAATGGAACTGCATGACTAGGCGCTGTGTCTTCTTTCCAGAGACATCACCCACCTGAATGGGATCAAACGTTTTTGGCTTTGGTTTTTGCAGTAAAATGTTTAGATTCTTCTTCTCTTTCTTGTCATTGTATGTCATACAATGAAACTCTGGTGCAATCCCCTTAGCAGGTTCTTAAAACATAATTCAGAAAAACATTCACTCATACTCTTCACACATTCATTCCTACTGTAAACATCTACAAAATTTAATTAACTACATAATGTGCAAAACTGATTGGACTGTTGCCTCAAATCCTGACCTGAATAACTGGTTATATGAACTGAAAGGATAGTTTGTAAATACCATTCAGACAAAATAGTCAGCTCGATTACAGTATGGAAGGGATTGCTAAACTGGAACCGTTGTAGAAGCTGAGGTTGTAATAATAATAATAATAATAATCATCGATACTTTATTGATCCCCATGGGGAAAATGTCTTTACACCTCCCTCAACTTGCTCTTTGTAGAGTAAGCTGTCTGCGAAGGGCAGCCACCCATAGCAGCGCCCAGGGAGCTGGGGGTTAAGGGCCTTGCTGAAGGACCCACAGACATGCTGAGGCTGGGTTTGAACTGGTGATCTTCTGAGTACAAGCACACAGGCTTAGCCCACTGAGCCACAGGCTGGCCCTAAATCAGGAGAGAGCGTGAACGCAGTCCCCCACTACCGGAAATTATGCAGTGGAGATGTGCACATTTGTGGAATTTGCAGGGGTCGGTACAGCCACAGTGCAATGGCTGGGCCTCACTCTGGGTGAACCACCTTCGTGATCATGGTATCTCCCTGGCCAGGTAAGTGTTGATCGCTGAGATATGAAGCTCATGCTAAAGGAGCGGCAGTAAATTTTACACCTGTTACCAAAATTGTATTTTTTATCAACTTCATGTTGTTAATGAAGTTCATTATATTTCATTAATTCATTTAAATGTACATTTTTGCATACATACACGATGCTTTCATCCAAGCCATTTTAGATACAAGATATTTCATTAGGAATCTGATTTCTGGCTCAGATGGGTCAGTACCTGCTGGATGCAGAACTTGCGGATGGTGTAGTCAACCAGCACCATCACGTCCTCCACAGACACCCTGATATTCCCGTAGGTCCAGCATCCCTGGTCAGGCCAATACTGGGCACACTTGCACTGAAAGCATGCAGAATAACACCACTGTAAGCCCCGGAAACTGGGTTATTAGCAAATAACACCACAAAAAATACATTTTAAGGTACTTAAAATTAGTTTTTTAATTAGTAGTTTCATAAATTAGCAAGAACATACGGAAATATTTCAAATATCGAGATGTGATATTTTGTAATAAATATGTTACAGTTATTATGTTATTATTTACCAATCGAATCTGTGAAATAAGTTGGAGGTGTGCCAACAAATCACTTGCTTTTGCTCAATATTGTCTCTATGTAATCGAAAATATTCCCTTACAGCACAAGGCTAATGTCTTTTAGTAACCATCTTTTGATTACTTTTCTCTTCCTCATTCATTTTTTTCTTCAATTTCTCACAAAAGTACCACGCTGTCTATGACAGTTCAACAGTAAGGAGGAAAATGATTATGACCGTCTAGGAAAGTACACGTAGAGCTCATGCTAAAGGAGCGGCAGTAAATTTTACACCATTTTTTTTTTAAACATATATTAGATATTTATATAAAGCAAACAGACATTAAAATTGCAAAGCTTGGTATGTTTCGTTTCCTATGACAGTGTAAAAATGTTTTAGCAGTGAAGCTTACTGATGATTTCTGTTTGGCGAATCTCATCATGAGATACAAATTTTGCAGGATAGAAACACTGCAGTCTGAAATAAATATTATTACAAGCCCACCTTACACACTCTCCCAACGTTTCCAAAAAAAGACAATTAAATTCTCCCACAATTTTCATTGCAGTAATAATATTGGATCTGATTGAGTGTACATTTTGAGGAGAAGATTTTCATCCATATAATGTTTTTGTGAAGTGGTAATAAGATCCTCCAAAGATCAAATATGGTAAACAGAGTAAACAATGACAAATAGATTGATCCTATTCACGAAGATAAGCCTCTAATCATCTCCTGCTTCTCTTTATTGTCATTAAGTACCGCTGTTTCAATTTTGGTGCAATTTGTCACAAGCTGCAAAGTTTGGAAAAGATCTGCCGAATGATTTTTGAGTTATGCTTACAAGATCGAATGTTTGAGCTGGCCTGCTCTTTGCTACCACTATGCATCATTGCTTCAGTTTTGGTGCGATTTGTCTCAGAACTTGATCTGGTCCAGACACATGTCAGCAAAAGGTAGCGAGATAATTTTTGAGTTATCATGTTAACCGAATTCAATGTCTCTGTTTGATATCACTATATGGCACTGCTTCAGTTTTGGGGTGACTGGTCTCAAAATTTGATCACCTCCAGTGTGCCATCCCTATGATGTGCCTGAAAAGTTAGAAAAATATTACAATACTTCATAAGACCAAGTGTCTTCTAGAGCTGCTGTACCTTTTCTGCCACACAGTGCTGCTGCTTCAGTTTTGGGCCAATTGTGTGAAGCAGTAATAAGATCCGTCAAACACTTTTTGAGTTATCGTCTTAACAGAATCAACTGTCAGAACTGCCCTTTTTGGTTATCATTATGAGATGCTGCTTCAATTCTGGGGTGAGCTGCCTCAAAATTTTATCAGTTTTACTTCCTCACCTATTCAATGCCTGTGCAAAGCTTGAAAAAGATCCGAACAGTGATCCAAACAGTTTTTAAGTTATTGGCTCACATACCATAGTGTCTGTGGCAGCAGCAGCCTGGTTGCTAAAACAATATGTATTTCCTGAAAGCCAGGGAATACAATTAGATACCGCTCAAGCCTAATTTCAACCCAGCTGACTGTCACAGTTCCTGCTATGTGAAATTTGCATGTCCCTGACTTTGTTGGATTCCACCAAATCCAATCAGCACATAGCTGGACCAACACACAATACCCTTGATAACTACTGAAGGAATGACAATTATAAGACACCACATTAGAACCAGGCTTTATTAAAGTTAACTGGAAAAGGAAAACGATTAAACTGCATGTGTTCCAGTCAGCCTGCTCTGACAGTATTGTTAAGTACAAGAAAGCGTGTTTAACCTGCCACTCATAGCTTGATAATAATAAGTGGGTAGACACAGCATTTGCTATCTGTGGCTTGTCAGGTTTAGAATCCGTTTCCATTTCCGGAAGGTGACTGGTTGGAATGTCATGGTGAGCAGCATAATCACGTGACTGCTGGGCCATGGTGAGCAGTGAAATCATGTGACTGCTGGGCCATGGTGAGCAGTGAAATCATGTGACTGCTGGGCCATGGTGAGCAGTGAAATCATGTGACTATTCGGCCATGGTGAGCAGTGAAATCATGTGACTATTCGGCCATGGTGAGCAGCATAATCACATGACTGCCGGGCCGTGCTCTAGGGGTGTGGAACGCTGACCCCAAGCTCAACTCTTACCTGCATCCATGTGTCTCATGGTAAGCAAAATTCCCATATACTGGTACCAGTACAAACAGCAAATAAAGGCTATCCAAACTAAGAGACTTGTCGATCCGGTGCATATCAGCCAACCTTGGCAGTAAAAAAATTTATGAACAAGTCAAACCCAGTCAAAAAATATGATCTTGCTAAGCAGTCCAAGTTTCAGTAGACTGTATGCACATACTTCAGCAAGCTGGTGAACTAGAATTTAAAATTGAAGTCTGAAAGTAATACCCATGGCATGTGCACTAGACCTCCCTATTAATTTACTTAATCACTTGAAACTAACACAGGACCGATAGATAAAATAATTAACACCCACCTAGTTTCTGATGCTCATTTCAATGAGGTTAACAAGATCACTAAAAAAGTAAACTTACATCCTCACACTCTTAGGGTCTCAAATATCCCCACTCACCTCCTTCCTCTCCTTGAGGTTGGTCACCATGACAATAGTGGCTGTGTTCTGTTCCCAGATCATTCTCCAAAAGTCATTCACTGTTTCCTCTTTGGGTCCTTTAAGAAAGTTGAGTGATAAACAGCACTTCTACTTTAATAATTACCAAGTAGGGCTGGACAATATGGACCAAAAACCACTTATGCCATTTTCTCACAACACAAGGTGAATGATTATGAACAAATAAACCAAATGTAAAACTATCTGGCTAATGGCTCTACAACAGATCCTTGATAATCATTAAGTGCACTTATTGGAAAGATCACTTTAAGGTATTAGTCTTCAGTAAAATAAAAAACATTGCAAATCACAATATTTGTAACCTTGTTTTAAAACAAAATGAAACAACGAAACTCCATCACAGTGACCCTAATAGAATGGTATAAAATTAGGCTGTCGACTCTAGGATTCTACACAATGTCATGATCAAAACTCTCACATTATTTGCAACCAAGATAGAATATAATGGGTCTATATTAAAAATCTTAGTAAAAGTAAATTAATATGAAACGGAATTGTCTGATCCTGCATCTCATTTGAAAACACATCAATGCACTGTAAAAATTTGAACGCTCGACCAGCCCTATTACCAAGCAATAAGTATTATATTGTTCAATTTCAAGTTTACTATTACTTAAATTAAAGCATTCACTATTACATTTTTCACAATTACACAAAACAATATTTAAAGCAACTGCTTACAAATAGCATTAAACATTTAAGATGTGATTTATCATTAATCTGTTCCTATTTTCCATTTCCCTCTTGAAAGAGTGGGGTGAATTAGCTTACCCTGAGCTGCAATGAACTTATTCTTCTCTTGATATCCCTGAAAAAACAAAGTGTCAAAAAAGCCCATTGAGCTTTCTATTCTCTTCTACTCTCCTCTCCCATCCTTTGACTAGAGTGCTGTCCCTTGACTCACCCCCTCGCCCCCCATGCTTACGTTTATATAGGAGGCATTAATGAAGTCAGAGTCTGGGACACCCTCCAGCAAAGACAGATGCACCCTTGAGTGGTCATCTGGAAAATGTGGGGAGATCGATGGACAGGTTTAAAATCTAGTGAATAAGATTCATAATAATAAATAAACACTGGAAGAAATGGGTGCTTCATCCACATTGATATTTTTTTTCCTTGCACCAATAAGTTAATCAGCCAAAAGGAACACATCAATGACCAGAGCAAACCAAACAACCTGTGCACAATGCACAAACATATTATAATAAAAATTGTTGTAGACTCACAGGGTAGAATATTAACATATCTGTTTTTCTCTTTATTTTCCTCTTTTGATGCTGCATGACAGGATGCTTGAATAGGACATACAGGCAAAGACTGAAAAGACAAGAGACACCGATGAATAGCTGATTTCAGATTTAAAAAACTCCCTTCTGAAAACAGGGATACAATATTGGACAAATACGTTACATCACTAAACAGACCCTATATGGTCCTTTGTATTGGTGTGTAGTCAGTGGATGTTTGCACTCATGTTTAATGGGTAGGTGTGTGACACAAAAAGTTAGGGATCTCTGTGTGTTCAAATGCCGTGGCTGCGAAAGTAATCACATTACCATGGGCTCTGGAGTAAGGGTCTGCTTTCTGACCCTAAGCCTTCCGCAACTGTACGTCACTTTGGACCAAAGTGTGAGCTAAATGAATTAATGTAGTGGCATAAACCACAAGATGAGAAAACAACAGAATTCCTCAATCAGAAAAGTTAGGTTAAATCGATTTGACAGCAAACTGGCTATAGTGAAGAGGCGACCCAGTGACAGGATTTTTCTCCCAATGTACATGGCAAAATACTGACAAAGGTCACCTACCTTAGCCTATTCAAATTTAGAAACAACATTGATGTGTAAATTATTGTAAACATTTTTCAAACTGTTTAACTATGTACAGATGATAATTTCTTTCCAAGTCTTACATTGAATTCCTCCCGGAAGATCTTGTTATCATCTGCCATGCGATGGTTCATCTCCTCCTCCAGCTTGTCAATATGAAGGGGCGGGTACTTCCTGTTGGTGCTAGGGGAGCGAGCCAATAGGGGCACACTTTGAAGCTCTAATGGAAGGAAATAGAGTAGACCAGTCAATGACCCATTCACTAGAAAGCTTAAATTAACAGGTCTATAACCTAGGTTGCCTCTAGATGGCAGCACAATACACTGAAGATCAAACTAACCATAGTTATTTTAGAGGAAAGTAGTTTCCAGAGTGTAAATGGAGTACTAGGAAAGAGTCGTACAGTCACATAGAAGAAATAAACAGCACATAAAAATAGGTATAAATGACCCATTCACTATAAAGCTTAAATGAACAAGTCTATAACCTAGATTGCCTCTAGATGGCAGCACAATACACTGAAGATCACACTAACCATAGGTATTTTAGACCAAGTCCTTCACACAAAATAAAGACAATAATGATAGATACAAACACATACACACACGCAGAGTAAGATAAATGCAGTATTATTACCTGTATCATCTGCCCTACCATTTGGCAGCCTAAAGGAGTTGGAGTGGCTCCCAGTTTGCTTATATTTCTTAAACCTGATGTAAAGACAGGACAAGGACATCAGTATGCTTCCAAAGCACTGTTAATGCACTTTTTGCACAAGTATCCCTTTTATATAATCAGTTCCTATGCATCTGTGTGTGGATGAAGGTGCGTAACATAGCTGTCACTTAATCAGTGTCACTAACAGCATACTATCATTTGTGGGGGTAAAGTTTCATACTGTCATCTGAGGAATAAAACATAGTGGGCATGGAACGGGAAATTCAGCATAGAAGGGCACAGCTGGTGAGTGAGTGTGTCAGGCTGCTTCACTAACCTTAGCATGTAGAGCACAATGACAACGAAGATGATGACGAGCAGGGAAGACAGAGCTACCGTCACTGCGATGATAGGAGTCTCATCTTCAGCAACAGGAAGAGAGAGAATGACTCATTTCTGCTGCTTGTGTGAACAGAATATCTGAGTTTAGAATGTCAGAAAATGTCTGTCTAAATTCTCAGCATGGAAAAGCAGAACCAGCAACAGAGGCTTGTACTGGCAGATGATGACAGTTACCAAGAAGGACACTGTCACAGTCTTTCACATACCTCACTCAAAAAAGTAGGAAAAATGTGAGAGAGTAACATCTCTCTTACCTGTGCTGTCACTCCCACCTGAAAGAGAGACACCACAGTTTATCACACGGTTTCACAGTTCTGACTTCACCAAAAATACACTTATATGAAAAAGTGCCAGTGATTTAAAGCAATACTAAGGGGGAGACAATTAATTATCTTTAAGTTTGAGTTAAAAAATAAAATAAAAATTCAATACTATATTTTCAAGGTGTGACATCTGACAGAAACTCTATCATATTTGCATTTGATGAACTGGCATGGAATGGCCCAGAAACAAATGCCAATTCCAACCAATCATATGGTACTCGTTTAAGAACGGACATCCTATACATAAGAAATGCACAACAGGGCTGAGTTAGCAGAGGACACCATATGCTAGTTTTCCAGTAAAATCATGGAAGTGCGCTCCTTCAGAGGAGTCCTCAGTGTCAGGGAAACATCTTTTTAAAAAATATTGATGAACAAGGTAAAAAGATGTTAGTGCTGTGGAAGTTCTTTGGCAATTTAAAGCAGGACACTCAACAGACTAGTGCCGCTTGTAAATTCTGCTTGTGCCGAGTAAAACTGGAAACAATATGGATTTATTTCACTACTCAAAACATTGACATCCAACAGACGATATGGAAAGCAAGTGCTTATAAACACAGACACCATCAATTATTGTTTCCTCTTCCGACCTGGAAAAAAAAAATGGAACAAACCATCTTTTATTGATTCAAAATGGGTCACAGCGTTTTATTTTTCAAAGCGAGATGGATGGAAGCTCTACCAGCAATGTCAAACTCATTCCCAGGAATGAACGGCGAGGCAGTCGGAGACAAAACCCAGCCTGAAACCCTGCTGTCCGCATATTATTAGTGCGACAAAAAAAGTGTTGGCGTTTTTAATTAAAATTTGATTTGTTTGTAGCCCATTCAATTTGTCGCCTTTGTTTCATGTTCCAAATGTGTTTAAGGGCAATTCTAAAAGAAATTTAAGCAAAAATGGAGCATTCAAGTAAAGAAATAATTACTTGATTTATATTGTGATGATTATCAACACTAACCAATATGAAAAATATTGCGGCAAATATCGCCCAGCAGTACATATAAGCCAGAAATGGAGCTTTTGGGCCAGTACTACCTGCAGTGCTGCCACTGTCTGCTGAGGGAATTCCAGCAGGGGGCGACGTGCTGGACTCTTCTATGATTGCTGCACTGGTGGCATTAGGGGCCACAGCAAAGGAGACAGTTGAGTTTGTGTCACCCTCTGTGACGTTGCTGGCTGAAGATGGAGCAGACCATGGCAGGTAGGGGGTTGGGGCAGCAACAGGAGGCTGGGCGGTGGGAGTGCCCCCTCCAACAATGGTTGTTATGCCAACAGACGGACTTAATGTCCCCAGGGCTGTCACCACAGCGCTTGTGGCTGTGCTTAGGTTGAGTGCAGACTGGGCCACGGTAGATGAGGTGGCGAACTGCGTTTTCTGGAGAGAAACATCTAAAAAAAAGGAGAGAGTAAAAGACAGAGGGAGAGAAAGAGTCAGCATCAAAGGCACCACGTATCTGTGATCCCGGAGTTGTTTTTAATGCCAGGTAAGATGGTATCTTGAAATTCCCTGGAATCACACATGTTGTGGTTCCATGTTAATACCAGTGTATCACGGCCTGACTGTGTGTCTGACGTGGTTACCTGTGGGTTGAGGAGGCTCCTGGGAGGAACACAGAGCCACAAACACGGTGCCCAACAGCAGTAAGCTGAGGGACACCCCCATGGTGCCCTGGTAGAAGCCAGAGGAGTGAAGGAATATGTCAGATTTATCCATTATCATGACAACTTCTAGCTTATTCTCATCCTTTTCAGAACCACATGATGAAACCACAGCTGAAAGCTATTCTGATGTGACACTGCAGGTGACAGGGTCACTTACACCAAACGCATGCATATCCTCTCAGCCCTGCCACTGAAGCCAGACACTCAGTGAAATACTGGACGCTGCCACTCCTGAAGACTCTGTATAATCTCCACAAGAAGTCTATTCACTCACAGAAGCTATAACCAGTCACATGCCCACATTTCCTGTGTCTGCCTCTGGGGATGTACTCATGTTCTGATTGTAGGCAATTAAATGGGACAGAAAAAAATCGTGGCCATTTTAAAAATTGGAGAAATCAATACGCCCTGAGCTGTACATTTGGATGCTGGATGTTCCCCATATGTTGCAGTTATGGGAACTGGCACTTCTAAATTGCCCATTGCATGTGATTGTGTGCTTGCGTGTGCTCTCTGATGAACTGGCAACCCATCCAGCTTTTTTCAGGCCTGCCTGGGATAGTCTCCAGGTTCTATACCCGATTTGATACCCGATTTGAAGATAGATGGATTTCTGAATTAAAATGAAGAGAAATGATGGATATAGAGAAAGGGCTAGAGACGAGGGATGGGGGAGGGGATACAGATCATGTGAGACAAAGCGATGTCTGACCTCCAAGATGAATGTTGACATCAGCCCCTCATCAGTCCAACGGTCTCTACAAGGGGACCGAACAAAGGAGAGGAACAGACCATTACTGGGTTATCAGCTGTGTAGAGTTAGAAAGAGGGCTATGGAGGAAGACAGCATTGTATTCCCCAGACAATTCCATCCCACCTATATAAGTCTTTATATGTCTATATTTCTCATGATCCATTTTCATAATGCCTAATTTCTGCTATAAAATTAGCTGAAGATTTCTTTGGACAGGTGTCACATATAGCATAATAAGAAAAAGTTAGATTGGGAGACAAATTATACATTATTACAAAGATTTCAGTGATTAAATTTACCCATAAAACCCATAGTATTCTCTGTAAAACCCATAGTATTCTCTGTAAAACCCATAGTATTCACACACTTCACTCCAGCTTCTGGCTTTGTGGTCACGTTTTCTTTAGGCAAGAACACAATTAACCAAAACGCTGCATTTCATTAAATTAAATAATTAAGGGCCCTTAATTCTGTAGCAGGTACAGAACAGAAAAAAAATGAATTGTGCATATTGTAAGGTTTTGTGAGCTCAATTTAGTATTTCATGGGGACTGTAATTTTAGACTGTGTATTAATTAATTTGTACACATGACCTGTGCATTGTGGTCAGAACCTCCAGGGTTCTGCATATACCATTAATGTATCTGTTACAGTTCTTAACCTTGTCACAGAAAATGTTGGTCATAGTGCAAATGAGAAATATAAATATTTAGACATATAAAAAATGAACAATACTGACATTTTAGGATATGGGCATTAAGACACAGACACAGGAATACAGGTAACCACCTAATTTGTGGGGCAAGAGTCTGCAAATTGGCATTTAAGTGCAATGTGCAAAAAATGAACAGGTGTAGTTTCATAGTTACATGTCACAACTGGAATTGAGAGCATTCAGATGTAGAATTACGGCTGGAAAATGTATGATCTTAATACCAACATCTCATGTTATGCATACGAGATTCTGGTCAGCTAGATTAAGATCAGGGTTTTTCTTACCTTCAATTCTGTATTAACATTATAGCGCAGTGAGTTTCGCTAAAATATTTTTATTCAGTCATAGGGGAAAAATACAACTCTGTAGCTTTTGCAATTTTAATGACAATTCCTCTTCAGGATTATCTAGCATATCTTTAAAAATCAGATTAAAAATTAGCTCCGCTGCTTTTGCATGAGCGCAACACGCGCCCTCCAAGTCAATCATACTCATTTTCATCCTTGCTGTTTAAATCACTCCTTGTATTTATTACAATGAAATCTCATTGCTATATTTGAAAAATATCCCAATACCATGCTGTCCTAGTATATTATACAAAATACTTTAATAAATTGTATCTGTTCCTCCCAACCAGATTGCAATTTAAGCTTGGGTCTCTTCATTTGTCCATGCATCCATTATTATTAATTAGTTTTTTTTTTTTTACTTCATTTATCATTGTTTTCTGAGTTTTTTCAAGACAACGGTTGAACTGTAATTCAGAGGCAGGCTATTTGCATAACTGAATGACAAAGAAAGTTTCAAGTCCCACTCCAAAGTACCCCAGTAGGTTTGGCACTTTAGGTACTGGAACTTTTGGTACCGGTACTCGACCGGAAGTCAATGGAAAAGGGAGTGTACTGAAAGTGCCATGTGCACCAAAACTACGGTACCAGGTGTGGTGGGAAAGTGCCCATTGTCCCAATACTGCACATTTCCTATAAGTACCAATAAGAAATGACAAAAGGATCCCTAACACCTGTCCCATTGAACAATTCCTTGGGGGGGAAGCACACAGCAGTGGCAGGTGGAGGACAAAATATCTTCCTCTCCTTTCCTGCTGGTCTCTCCATCTCTCCCTGCCCACTATTCCTCCCACATGTCCCACACACTGGGCTGAGGGGATGCCCACAATTACAGGCCTGCTTGCAGGCCCAAACCGCAGCGGTTCCCTCCACGTGCTCCAGTCCGACCCAGCCCACACAATACCCTCCCAGTCCAGACTGTTAAGACCAACCCCCTGTCTGCTGAAGAGGTGCAAACATGATGCCGTCTCACTGGAAATGTTTTCACAGGTGTCTGCAGTCAAAGCAACTTAAATTTAAAAACGACAGGTCATACCTAAACCACCACATACCATTACACTAACAAAATAAAAGCACCAATGTATGTTACTTGTCATTATAAAATAAGTATAACTGTATCTGTTCTTATTTCATAGAATTTTGATGAAAACCAGTGAAACTCCCCCTAAATCATAACTTGGACAGGTACATGTCTGCAAAGTTTGGATAAAAGTTTGGATTTTTGAGTTATCATGCTGACAAGATCAAAGGTCTGAAACTGCCCTTCTCTTTGCTGTCACTATGTAATGCTTATTCAATTTTGGGACAATCCGTCTCCAAATTTAATCAGTTCTAGGTTGTCACCCACACAATGCCTCTATAAAGTTTGAAAAAGTTCTGTCTAAATGCATTTTGAGTTATTGTCTTAACAAGTAATTGCCTGTGGTGGTATCAGACCAGACCCAATACCACATGTAGTCCCATTCCAGGTAACAGAAAGATCCTGCAGGAGAATATGTAGTTATTAACCACTTTAATCTCACCATAAACACATAATAAAAACATGAATGTCTGCAATTATATTCCCTGTATGGATAATACATATGCTTTTAGGAACACTTTGTCACCTCCATCACTGCAGATACTTTCCCACTAATACAATAACTCAAAAAGTATTTGATTAATTCAAACTTAGCACAGGTATTGTATACATTGAATTGCAAATGCAAAATGTAGGCTATACTTCAAGCTCATCTATCACACAAGAGCCTACAAAATGGTGTTGAAAGCACTGTCTCACAGCGATCCTGTAAGATCCTTTATCTTACAGCAGCAGCACCAGAAGTCAGTCTGTCACACTTATGAGTCACACTGAAAACTAAATACATGCCCCAACTGATCCCTCCAACCACCACCACCACCTCCCCCCCTCCTCTCTCTCTCAGTCACTGTCTCTCCCCTTTTTGGGTTCCCCATATCAAAGCAGAAGTAGAATACACCTATGAAGCAGCCCCCACAAAACAAAATGGTCCACATATGAAAGATCCTCAAAACAATACACGTCATTAAACGTAGTCATTAGCATTAAAAAACAAAAGACAACAGCGTGAGCAACATTTATTTACAAAGCTGCCCTTATTAATGAGGTTGCTCAAACCTCTTTCACATATCTACAGATCTGGTTGATTGGAAGCAGCGACCAATTCAGGCATGATGCGCTTACCACAGGACAAGTTGAAGGGCCATATATAAGGTAGTTCCCTCCAAGATGCAATCTGACTTACGCAATTATTACAACTATGCATAACCCCTAGAAACAGGTTTCGTATCCATTTTACCCTATGTGGCCAACCACAACACTCCATCCTAAACAAGTGGCTGCCATAGCTTCTTAGCCCTCATTGGTCCATTATCTGGATGGGTCCTATCCAAGACGATCCATTTCATTAAATCAATTTGTACTTTATAGGTATGAAATGTTCATATTTACATATCTGTCCATCTGCCAATCATACCTAACCTGGACAGGGTCACCAGGGGGCCTGAAGCCTATCCGAGACAGTACAGGGCACGAGCCTGGGTAACACTAGATGGGATGCTAGTTCACATTTACCAAGTTAAAGAAAAATAAAATCTACTCATAATAAAGAATACTCATTATTACTGTGATCTACTACCCTCTTTCTTTGTATTTCTATACCATTAAAGCATAAAAACTAGACATGAGATCCATTCCTGTACTTGAATGTGAACCATCTAACACAGGGCCAGTGTGTATGCAGGTTTTTGATTCACATCTGGCCCTCGATTCCAAATCCAGGCCCTGTTTTCAGTTCTCCAAGGTAGCTAGTTTAATAATTACTGATTCTGATTGGCCACAGAGGCTCACAGGTAAAGGTGGGCTGGAAAATCAGCAGGGCTCGGACCTTGATTTGAATAGCCCTGCTTTAGGTAATCTGTTCAAGCCCATATGTGAAAACTCTTCAGCCAATCTAATTAGGGAGTAATCCAATTAGAGAGTTGCAGTAAAAACCCACATACACAATGGCCCTTTCTCAATCAGACTGCCCACCCCTGATGTAACAGAAAAGGAACTGGAGAATGTTGTCATAGATATTATCAAAGCATGTGGCATATTCGTGAAGTTTGTAGCTTTGTGAGGCCAAGATTTCCTTGGTTCCTCGTTACAAATATATTTCAACATTGCTATGATATCTGATTAACATGAGTAAACCACAAGATGCTGACAATATGCCAAGAAGTTACCAAATCACTGCACTGTTCCCTGGTATTAATCAAGCAGCTGCATCAGTGTGACAGGAAGCACTTATTACCAGCACTGTTTGAATCAGAAACTTTCAGCACAGCAGGTAAAGTAATAGCGGCGCAACGCTACTTCAGAGCTGTTCTTACTTGATGACACTGACAGTAATAGCAACATGGTCGATCCTTCCCAAAAGTACAGCTTGGTTATTCACAGCACATAAGTAGCTAGAGAACACATGCTTCTTTGGTCACTCGTTTGCCGGTGTTAGTTTTAAGTTAACAGAAGCAAGACAGCGGCACGAATTTAAGCTTTATTCCTCCACTACTTGTGTAAGCTTAAGACTTTCTGGGGGCTGTCATCCCAATCACCCCCCACCCCACAACCCTAAAAGCATCCTGCCCTCAAACATGTAGCGCTAAACAGGCGGTCGGGCCCCCAGAGCCGGTCACCCCCAAAGCCCCGAACCCCCAGCTCACGTCCCGGCCGGCGGTGTAACGTGGCTCCGCCAATCAGTCCGGCTGACTCCCGATAAAGGCTCCGCTGTTCCTCCCTCCCTCCTTCTTTTTCTCTTCCCCTCCAGTCTTTCTTTTTCCCCCCTCCTTCAACTCACTGCCTCCCGGCTACCTTTGTTAATGTTCGTACATGTACGCAGTGTAGGGCGCCTTACACAGATTCAGTATGATCGTTTCTCTTTCCCACTCGCAGAATTAAAATAAACTCGTTTCCGTTAATGACAGTCCGCGTTTTAGTGATATAAAGGGAGAAACGTACACGGGCGCACTGTTTACACTCCATCCGAAAATGTAACTCACCACGTCTCCTGTTTCGCCGGGGAAGTCTTTGTTAATTCTCTCTCTCTTTTATGTATCTAATCTATTATTATTTTTAATTTAATGCCAGTGTTAGCGTCTCTACTCACTTTCCCCCAGCCCCTGTCCCTAACACCCCGAGAGTGTGTGTGGGCTGACGAGTGTGTGGAGGGGGCAAGAGACGGCTAATTTGGAGAGGGTTAAAAAAAGACACTAAAATATCCCCAAAATATCCAGAATGCGCCAGAAAACCATGCCCTCTATTACAGAAAAAATTTACACGAAATACCGGTTTTTATTTGCCGTGTCCGGGCCGTCAGCAGTCGTGCTTACTCCGCCATGTTGTGCCTCGGCGTTGGGAATGGGAAGCCCTCAATCCCAGCCCCTTCTCCTCCTCCTCCTCCTCCTCCTCCTCCCTCACCCCTCATCCGCCGGCCAGTGTCCTTCGCCAGCTAGCATCTGGGGCACGAACTACAGTCAATAACTACGGCAACGGAACATAGATCCCTCCGTCATTCTCAAGATACACAATAATTACGTGGCCATCACACTATAAACCCTCACCCATATAAGCATATCTGTTTAACTTCAGAAATTACAGCGACAACGTTAACGAAAATAAAACAGTAATAAAGTAGTTGGAGGGTGATGGATGTAAATATCGACTTAAAATTGGGGTTTGATTTTGACTTCTATTTATATTTCTTTACACTTTATTACAAATTTGACAAACTATCTCAAAAAGCAATCATACATCTCCGCAGCATATATAGTTAGGAGGCTGCCACCACCTAGTGGTCTAAATAATTCTCAACGCCGTAACCAACTCACGGCCGTAATTGGCATGATATTTTCCGTGTGGAACATCTCCTTGTGAATTTAAGTTCCGCCCGTGTCGATGTATTCATTCGATTCATTGTGTGTAGGCCTACCGAAATGAAAATGATATACAGCCATAATATTAAACTAAAAACAATGTGTTCAGATGAACTATAGCTTCATACAATCAATGAAAAACAAAACATTATTATTTAGCCTATCATCATCTAGACGAGTTCCCCTTTTGAGAGGGCTGCCTATGTGCGGAGCCTTGTGCTGTCACACCTGTGCATCACGCTAGGATTCTGCCGCACTTCATAAACAATGACATAAGAGCAGCCAGTGATACCCCATGCCTGGAATCAAAGCACGCGGCTGCCTGGCACATTGGTGCATTGAACATTGAGGATCATGGCGGCGCCCAGTATGAACCAGACTTAAAGATCGCCTGGTCACATGATCTCCTGCAGTCAGCATACTACTATACAGTGATGGGAATGTGAGTTCTATCTAGGCAGTCTGTGGTATCACTGAATCCAATCAACATTTCTGTAATGAACTATAAACCTGCAGTTTGGAATCACACCTTCATTATTCCCAAGTCCCCTGGGGCCCTTTCCACACCAGGGCCCCCAGCCCCCCAGCCCCCCCAGCATCCAGACCCTTCATGTGGTATCTACACTGTACCTGTGTGTCCCCCATCCCTACCGCCCTCTACAGGGGGGCCTCGAAACAGGGGGTGCTCTGGGGTCTCAGGACTAAGGTCCTGTCAACAGTTAAAAAAATGTTACATTATTAAGAAACATTATAAAGTACTTTTTTAATCAATGAAAATTCTCAAACGATCCAAATCTCATCATCTGTTTAAAATTATTGCTGGCTTTTCATTTTACATTGTGCACATATAACCAGGCACGTGCTGTCCTATTTAGAATCAAAATACAAAAATATAAAGATCGGTTTAAGATCTGTTTACATTAATGAGTTAATTTTTCCAAGTGGTATTTTGGCATGTGTGATTTTGTGGGTGCACAAAAGTGCGCTAGATCCTGGCATGATGCGAAGGACAGCACCTCTGAGCTCACCTTGGCAGCTGAGGATTTGTCCATGAGAACTGCCAACAGGACACGGCTGCCAGCCGGGGGGGGTGGGATGGCCTTTCACAGCCTGGCTCGAAACCTGCGCTCTGGCAGGAGGTGACAGTGGGCGATTGGCATATGTCTAGTGTCTCTTTTCTCTCTAGAAAGCCTGGAGGACACACAGCCAGTGAGACAGAAGCCGTAACCAGACACTGGCAGAAAGGGCCTGCCTGCCCTCTCTGGCTGCTGGCCTGCCCTCTCTGGCTGCCGGCCTGCCCTCTCTGGCTGCCGGCCTGCCCTCTCTGGCTGCCGGCCTGCCCTCTCTGGCTGCCGGCCTACCCTCTCTGGCTGCCGGCCTACCCTCTCTGGCTGCCGGCCTACCCTCTCTGGCTGCCNCCCTCTCTGGCTGCCGGCCTACCCTCTCTGGCTGCCGGCCTACCCTCTCTGGCTGCCGGCCTACCCTCTCTGGCTGCCCTTCCTTCTCCCATTAATACTGCTCTGTAGGGGTCTCCCCTGTAACTCCATCTTCTCTGCCTTCTTTCCCCCCAATTCTGTGTTTGCTGAAGATGCTGAGGAAGAGGATGACTTTATATACTACAAAGTGTAATGGAGAAGTATGTTTGGGACAGTAGATAAAAGACAATGCTTCTGCAAGTGAAGTTTATTAGATCTGAAAATAGTAGATGGCACAGCGGGCAAAATAAAGCATACAGATATGTATCCGTCCCTTTTTAAACCGTTCTAAACCATGAACTTGAGAGACAAAACCACATAACAGCAGAACGCAACTTACCGGCCAAAGAGAAATACCCAAAAATAGCACACAGCTTGAATCATAGACTAGTCTGTTTGGTGTTATTTTTACCAAGCTGAAAGGAATATCACAATTAGGAAAATAAACAAGCAGCATTAAACTTTAGTATTAAACTTTCACCAGTTAGGCAGCGCATCTCAGACATGAATATTGTTGAACAATACATCACGCGATATGTAATATACAACCTAGCGGCAGGAAATGTCTGTTGTCTACTTTGGAAAAAAAAAAGTTCCTTAATATGACAAAACTAACATGTACAGCATAGCGCTGAAGTGAACAGATTATGAAGTGCATTCCTATGTGAAACCTTCACGGAGTACGTGTCCCTGTGGGTATGTTTGAACCAGACAGTGGGAGGGACAAAAATCAAAGGAAGAGACAATGAAAGGCAACAGTTTGACGACCGCGGCAGCTGGTGCGCGGCTAGACAGCCAGGTTGGAGATGACGGCACGAGTGAACTCGTCACAGGACGCGTAGCCCCCCAGGTCTGCTGTGCGCACCTGTCGTGTGGAGGGACACTGAATTACAAAGGCACACGCCATGTATCTGTGCACATACACACACGTTCAATTCACGCCTCTGTGATAAACGGTGATTGTCGCTGGAGGGATTCGCCATGAACAGAGTTTCTCTGTGCCGGAGTGCAAACACATGGGCCGCTGTGTGGTTTTAGGCTGCTGTGCCTGTAAGGGAGAACCATTGCTCAGTTGATAATGTTACTTACTTCTGTTTAGCAAAGGTTTTTGGTTCACATCCCAAAGCCGGTTGGTAGAGTGATGGCACCGTCAGGCCCTTGAACAAGACCCTCAGCTCTTTGATTATTCAACTGAACATCACTTTGGATAAAAGCCTTTGCTAAACAGAAGTAAGTAACATTATCAACTGAGCAATGGTTCTCCCAAACAGCTCCAGCCTACACAAACTATATAGACCCCCCACATTATTTTGAACACAAAGCAAACACAAAGTTTTAAAAGTAAAAAAAAAAAAAAAATGGTATAAAATGCACTCTTTTCACCCTCTGTTCTTCTACAAAAGGTGTATTGTAAATATATATGTAAAAGTATTAAACTGCTAAGCAACAATCTGTATACTTAACATATCACCATATCACCACCATTGTGTTTGGATACGCGTATGTAACAACTTTTTTTTTTTTAAAACCATTAAAAAAAAAAAAAACTTTTGATTGATAAACAGTGGACATCTTTTAGCAGTTGAAGATGGAAAAGTTAATTACATGACACGAACTGCACTGAATAAAGCATGGCTGATAAACAGCCATACTAAAATAACACAATAGAAATGCCAGACCACAATAACGGAACCAGAAGTAGTGGCATAAACCTCAACAGGCAACTTGGAACCGACACTGTCATGTTCAGTTAACAGGGCAGCTTTTAGAAGATATGGGGTGACAGAACAAGAAGATATGGGGTGACAGAACAAGAAGATATGGGGTGACAGAACAAGAAGATATGGGGTGACAGAACAAGAAGATATGGGGTGACAGAACACAGACCTGAAGTATTTCGGGGGAAAAAAAACAATGACAACATTGAAGCAATGAAGAAACGGTTAATGCACTACATGGAGAGTGAAAAAAGGACCCATATGATCTACAGTAAATGCAGGACGATGAGGCTGGGGGGGGGCAGGGGGTTGGATCAGGATCGGACACTTCAGGGCTCCTCAGCATGCAGGCCGATATCGCAGGTTGTCCACAACAGCACGGACAAAGTCACCTGTGGTACTGTACCCACCCAGGTCTCTGGTCCGTACCTGGGACGGACACGGACACGGACACGGACACGGACACACACACACACACACACACACACACACACACACACACACACACACACACAGAAACACACACATATACAGGAAGCTCTCAGCTGAGTGCAAGCATAGTGAAGGCCAACCACGGCTTCCATCAGTGAGATCAAATGACGACTCATGGATTTGAGTCAACGATCTAGAATCTCTGTAATTCATTTCAAGACACCACTTTACTTTACTTAGTAGCCTTAAGAGTGACTGTTTATTTTTGCACTGGAAATTGCACTTTAATTTCGTTGTACAATGTCTCATTGCTACAATGACAATAAAGATTCTAATCTAATCTAATCTTTTCAAATTGTATTACTTGATCACAAGATTTGAAAGTTTTCTTCACTTGGCAAGATATTTGACTCCCTCCAGGAAAACTCTCTGAAGCACTTTGACAATCTGCCTGCCAAAATGTGCCATATTAAATAAAATTTGATCAAATGTTATTTTAATAACATTTTACAACCATGACTGTCAATGATGGAATTAAAATGATGGTTAGCCATAACATTAAAGCACAGGTGGGTGATTCCACACCTGCAAGCCTCAAGGTATGATTGTTTTCATCCCCAGTAATTGGTATCAACTAATTACCTTGTTTAAGCACAAATTTAAGAACAAGTTGTATCTGTTATCACTCAAAACAGATTAACGTTTGCTGCGGGTTACTTAAAATATTACACAAACCCATGTAATTCCATTCCAGTTTTGAACTGGCTTAATGGTTTAGGACAACAAAACAAGCACGCAAACAAAATCATTCATGTCTTCTTAAAGTTAATGCCCCAGAGGAACGAAAGCAATCATATCCTGCATGATTTGGAATCGACCACCTCAGCTTTAGATAGCTAACCAGGACTGTCAAGTGATGATCACAAAGGATAAATAAAATTGCGGTAAAAAAAAACAAACAGGCACAGCCACAATAAAAGAATACAGGCTTTACCTTGCCCTGCTTGATGACCCGCTTGACTGCATCAGACACCATGTAGGAGTGGTAATCGAGGCTACAAGGCAAAACCAAGGTCAATCCATTATTCGTGTGGTCTATTGGATGAGAATTCAGATGCAGAATACTCTATTAATCCCTGAGGAAATGATGTGGTTACAGTTGCTGCAGGACAGTAAGAAGGAAGAGAGTAGATCAAGTTTAAAAAAAATAAATAAAATCCATGTCCATGATCGGAAGGATACTGGTTCGAATCCTATAGCCGGCAGGCTTTTGTTGTACTTTCTGGAATTGTAACCGTCTCAGGAAGAAATATACACACAGAACTCGAGAACTATGTCATGCTAATATGAATGACGCAGGACAGCAAGTATCTGTGAGTGTCTGCAGGACAGGCTGTGTGCAGTACTAACCTGAGGTGCCTCAGCATGTTGGCGGCACTCAGGAGCATGGCTGTGGGGTTGGCAATGTTCCTGCCCACCGCCTGGGCAAAGGGGTGACGGGCTCCCTAAACACACAAGCAAACAGAAAACACATTGGCTCAAGGACTGGCACTGCAGCTTCCCACACCCAAGTGTGAACCTGCACATTCTCCATTTGCATGTTTGGGCTTCCTCCAATATTACAGGCAATTTAGGTGGATTAGCTGCCCCAAGTGCAAGTCCTTTGATTGACCTGAATCCCATTCAGGGTGCCGCCCTGCCATGTACTCTAGTTACTATGGCTACCAAACAGTTAAGATAAGACGTTAGGAAGTTTCTGTAATATGGCCCCAGACACCAAATTGTGACCTTGTTTTGAAGAAGCAGTTGTGGAAGATGGATGGATGGATAGAGATATACCAGTTATGGACACTCACGGTCTCGAAGACGGCGTATTCTGCACTGTAGCTCTCTCCTGGAACAACCCCAGCTCCGCCCACCAGCCCAGCTGCCAGGTTGTCAATGATGTTCCCATACAGGTTAGGCATGACTAGCACATCAAACTGGTATGGGTTCTGCACCAACTGGTTGCAATGGGAGAATTGTTTTATGTTCCAAAATGCATTCAACAACAGCAATGCTAACAGATGCAATCATCCTGCTCAAAACTGCATACTTAATATAAGTTTCAGGCTCTCAATATTTACCTGCATGCAGCAGTTATCAATGATTAAGTTTTCATACTTGATCTTGGGGTAGAGTTCGGCCACCTCTGCACAACTCTGCAAGAAGAGGCCATCTCCCAGCTTCCTAATGGGAGAGCGGAGGAAAATTCACTGATTTTTTACCAGGATTCGTGACTGGAAGATGGATTTAACTTTTATAACAGTACTTTCAGATATTTCATATCACATAAAGCCAGCACTCTTAAGTGATTCAGACACATGGTTAAAAAGTATTAACACCAAACCGTCAATACTCAGTTAAAATGAAATCAACACAGAGTACTGTGTTCATATAAAACACATGCATCTATATATCAGGAGTCACCTTTATTTTTATTTGAAGGAATGATTAAATATTTTGTAGGTTTTTATAAATAATGGTGTCTAGTACATTACAGATACCAACACAAAGTGTTGTGCTTTTATACATCCTTATTCATTACCATTTTTGTTTGGACTGCCATAAATTGAGCAAATGCTGTTTTGTATGAATTGATTTGTAGGTTAAAACCAGGGTTTGGTAATTCAGGTCCAGAGAGTAAAAGTCCAGACCGAGATTTTGTTTCAACCAAGCAGTTGAGTACTCTGTGACTGTGACTCTTTATGCTCAACTGCTTGGTTGAAACAAAATCTTGGTCTGGACCTGATATACCCAACTCTGGTTATAACCAAATTAGATAATACTATAAAGAATTATGTTTTAGTTAATCTGCATTAATCTTTGGCAATATTTACCACTGATCTGCTATCTCTACTGAACAGAGAACAAAGAAGAACAGTGATTATACTGCTAATTACAGAGCGCGGAGCAGCGGACAGGCCGGCGGCGCGCGGAGCGGAGGACAGGCCGGCGGCGCGCGGAGCGGAGGACAGGCCGGGGCCGCGCGGAGCAGAGGACAGCCCGGCGGCGCGCGGAGCGGAGGACAGGCCGGCGGCGCGAGGAGCGGAGGACAGGCCGGCGGCGCGAGGAGCGGAGGACAGGCCGGGGCCGCGTGGAGCAGACGTACATGATGTTGGCCTTGTGCACGGCCGTCACCTTGCTGCGTCCCTTCTTGGTGGCGTAGTCAAAAGCAAACTTAGCGATGCGCCGGGATTTCTCTCGCGTGATGATCTTGAGACACTCGATGACTCCCTTCACGCTCTGGCCAATGGGAAGACAGAGACAGTTGAGAGATAAAGATGAGGGCCATGGGGAGGCGAGCTCTGAGCTAGAATTGGCTGGAGTCACTGGGCCCGCACCTCATGCTCCAAGGAGCTGTACTCCCCCTCCGTCTGCTCTCGGATGATGACCAGGTCCAAGTTGTTGTGGCGAGTGCTGTACCCAGGCAAACTGTTCACATGCACCACATTGGCAAACAGGTCCAGCTTCCGCCTTGGCACAGAAAATATCACATTGAACAGAACAGAACATGCTTACAGGTACACTGAATGCAATACAACAGTATGCTGCGCAATTTGCTGCACGATTCCTGCTACACACACATTCCCTCATTACAGGCACTAAAAAGCACGGCTCTCAGTCACATGTTCGTACGGAGCCCTGGAGGGGCCAAGAAGAGTCATGGGAAGTTGGTTCTTATTTTGTACCAAAATAAAACGATGTACCAAATCCAGCTTGGTCTCATTCTGCTAGTCCTGCCACATGACCACAAAAAGTGCACACAAATTAGGGGAAATTAGGGCTTATGTCCATTCAACAATGTATGAAATACCTGTATATATTACTAAGCTCCTATCTTAGTAAGAATGCATAACGTCTTCCATTCCATTTTGGTCTTATTCTGCTGATCTGCCACATGTCCACACAAAGTATCAAAAAAATTCTATGGTGGAAATTAAACATTATGGTCATCTAATTCTTAATACTGCGCATAGCAACAACCAAGATAGGCATACATCTCTGAGCCCATATCTTTATAATACATAATACGTCTCACATTCCAAATTTATTCTCCTGTACTTTTTTAATGGACACAAAGTACGCTTTGTTGTAATTTAGTTACCAGTTACATATTTATCAAGTATTTTTTTGCCTTTTATTTAAATTCAGTAACAATGCAATTACAACCAGTATTCAACAGTACTTCAAAACTACTGATTAATGCCTTTTTGCCCGATTTGAATTTCATCTTAACGTAGCTTACATTTTGAAATAATCCGAACTCCAACACAAACTGAAAACTGAATCGAATGCCAATGAGAGCAGGTATGGTAATGATGATGGGTATTTCTGCCTTATAACCAAACACTATATATTCACATAAACCTGAACGACGTGTCACGGGATATTGGTGCTGAAACATTGTACTATGTTACAGTTACTAAGTGTGTGAGCCAACCTCAGTTTCATTTCATAGGAGGCCAGCTCTCCCTTGTACTCCATTGGTGTGTGGATCTTTCCTATAAAGAGTGAGAGGAGAAAAATAACACAAATAAGCAAATGGGCAATTAATTTTTTTTTTATTAATCAGGTTGCTGCTGTCGTTACTTTCTGACCTTCCATGCTCACCTTTGATCGCCACTCTGTTGTTCTTCATAGATGTCAACACATGGTCAAGTTTCTCCTCACTGGCCATATTCTGCACCTCACTCAGGTGGAACTCCTCAAACTCCACAGGCACGTCGCTTGCCTGACAAAAGCACCAAGGAGTGAGACATGCAATGAGTGGAGAAAAGATATGCATCACACTGCAGTGACCAGCAGAACTAACAGGAAATGAGCCTCAAGAGAACAGCTGGATTGTGCAAGCCAATAGTGTAATGACTGCCAATAATTTAACAACTATAAATGATGCAATAACTTTTTGGTACATAATTACACTATTGGCTGATGCAACAGCCAACAATGTAATAACTGGCAATAACATCTATTTTAGGTGAGGAAATATAACAAGTTGACAGTAAGTCATTAAGTAAAAGCAAACGAAGAAGGGGGAAGAAGAATGGGAAAGAGAAAAAAAATATTAAATCATTAAACAAACAAATAATAAATTTAATCTTAAAATTGCATTTACAGAAACATTAGGCATTATGCAGTATAACTCTGTAACCTGTGGGGGTACATACTATATTTTTCCTTAACGATAGGCATGTCTTGTGTATGTGTGCATCCCTTATGTGTTGGGGAAAGTGATACATTAGGAGGCAGAGATGAAAGTGATGGGGAGGAGGAGGAGGAGCAAAGGGAAGAGAGGCAGGGGGTTATTTGGCCAGGATAACTCTGTACCCAACCAAGGCCTGATGAATCGGCCCCCCCATGGTAGTTACTACATTACTGGCTGCTACAAGGATAAAGACCGCAAATGAACCAGAAGTCGTACCACTGACTGTATTACCTTGAAGATTTCCTTCACCGCAGTCATAAGCTCAGGGCCTACACCATCGCCTGGCAGCATGGTGACCTTGAAGATGCTGTCCGCGCGTGCTGGGGGGGCCTCTGGTGTATGCAGGCAAGCTGACACCCCAAGTGGCCTGGAGCTGAGCTGATGAAGCCATGGGCCACCGAGGCCCTGATTGACAGAGACATCAAACACATTCACTCACTATAAGACTGAGTGACGTCGGCCGGCCGAGAGCACCGGTGCTAGAACAAATCTGGGGGGTGGGATCAAGATATTCTCAGGGGAGACACTGGGGGGGAACGACAGTGAAAGTTGTCGATCGGGGAGACAGCACTGGGTGAGCAGACGTTCTGTAACCATGCCCATGGGAGACTGGGCTCATTGGTTTTAGGATCAACACCTTTATCAAGAAATAAAAATTCAAATTTACAATTAATAAAAGATGGTGGTGGTGTTTTGGGGGGGAGCACAAGTCTGCAAGTGCCCCCTCATGACACTAACCCAGCCAACCAGGGCTACAGTCCCACATAATCCATGACTGACTTAATGTTTAAATACTAGTATTAATACACCAGCTAACAGTACAGCCACACAGCACACCCTGGAAACCTGGATTACTTCTTCTAGGTTTAGAAAATTGAAAGGCAGGGCATCAGCTATTTAATTTAAAAAAAATATAACTGAATAAAGTCTGTTAACCACTCAAAAGAAAAACTCATCAATCCCAGTAAATAAGATACAGTGATCACCTCCATGCACACTATGACGCTACCTAAAATACCACTAATATTTAAAGTATAGCCATTAAATCTCAGACTTCTTATAGACTCTAGAAACGTCTCCTAACAATTCGCGCAATGACTATCAACATCTTTTCCTCATGCAGTCTTTAACTGTACAACATCCCTGAAACGGAGGAAACATGGCCGGCTGTGATAAATGACCGTCTAGTGCTCTAATGAATGATTCCGGCTCTAGCAGCTAAAAAGCAGAAAACATTCGTTTGTGTTTTAATACAAAATGAAATTGACATAATGTCCTTGCATATTCACCTTTGACAAGGCGACCAAGCGTCCTCGTAAGGCGAGCGCCATGCCGACTCTGCTGCGCTTCCTGCTTCGCGATGCCGCCTTTAACCCCGGAAGTACAACTTTACTGTTATTATTATTACACAGCAGTAATCGGATATTTATTATAATGAAGGCCGCTGTGGCATAGCAATATCATAGTAAAATAGGAAAATCGTGCAGACGACAGAAATGTACAGACAAAATACAGAGGAATGCGTTTATACTACCGCCTGATAATAGTTACTTAACTGGAGCATTTTCAGGTTTATCTGTGCACTGTAACCTGTGCTTTTGAGCTTTGTCTCCATGCGTGAAAACTGTGGATTTTGCGGTAGTAAATAAAACCACTCGATTTTTTTTAAAGAAAGCATAACATGTAATTATCTATTTCAGCTTTAGAATATTCTACTATATCTGCCAAGCAGCCACACGAGGTTTCATGCAATTTTATGCTGGAAATTAGGCGATGTGATCATTCAAATGTATATAAAATATTTAGGAATACACGACAGCACCCAGACAGCACACATACGTCGCCGGGACGTTGGTTTACGATCGGAATGTCCTTAAATTATCAAGTTCCTTTTATTAACAATATTTGAAGTATTAAATAAGCTAATATGATCCTTCTTGTAGAGGGTAGTGCAGTTCAGAGACCAGTCCAGTTTGTTGTCAAGTACCCAGGTACTTATACAATCTCTACTGCATCACCCCGAATGGTCAGTCAGGTAACCAGACTGTAATCTTTTCCTGTCCTACCAATGTTCAGTTGTAGGCAGTTTCAGTCACGCCAGTCAACAAAATTGTCCACCACCCTTGTGTACTCCATCATGTCTTTATCCCTGATACAACTGACTACTGCAGAGTCATCCAAGAATTTCTGCATAGCCTATGGCATAATTCAGTGGTGTACATGGTGAAGAGAAAGGGAGACAGGGCAGCCACTCTGTGGAGCTCCTGTGCAGCTCTGCAACTTTTCTCTCACACACACACACACACACACACACACACACACACACACACACACACACACACCATCCTGGAGATGAAGGTACTGAGAATGTCTGGTCAGATAGACCAAAATCCACCTGCATAGCTGACTGCTTTCTCCAAAGCAGAAATCGCTGAATGGTATTTAAGGCACTGGAGAAATTAAAAACATCCTCGCTGTACCTTCTGGCTTGTCCAGCTAGGAGTTTGCATGGTGCAGCAGGTAGATTATGGCATCATTCACCCCAATCGGGGTCTGGTAGGCACACTGAAAAGGATCAACTGACCTAACCAGGGAGCGGAGTATCTTCAGGACCAGTGTCTTGAAGGACTTCATGCTGTGTGAAGTCAGTGCCACTCATCATGCCCTACTCGTCCAATCCTCCTCTGTGCCACACCCCCTCATTAACCATGTGTGGAATCCCCGTGTTACCAGCTGTTTCTGGTTGTTGTTAATTAGTCTTTTGTATTTAAGTCCACGTTAGAGTATATTTCCCTAGTCTGGTCATTAATGTTGTGTGGTTGCATGTGTGGTCCTGCTTGTCCTTTACAATTAAAATCACAAGTTCACCCGATTCCTGGAGTCCTGTTCCTTCTTCCCCAGTCCGTGCTATGCTTGCACATGACACCACTGGCCTGTAGTCATATGGAGCACTGGGACGTACCTTTTTAGGCACAGGAACCAGACAGGATAATGACGGTATTTTCCACAAGATCTGATGAGATCTTCTTGTGACAGTGAACTGAAGGAATGAGGACTCAGATACAGATATAAAGCAACAGGAAACTTGAATGGGTCAGTCAAAAATCAGGGTGGAATGCTCTATGTCAAAGAGTGCATGACCAAACAAAACGAAGACCGAAGAGGCAAGTGAAGGTCAAGCAAGGAACAAAACGATCATGGGGCAAGACCAACTCAGGATCTAGAGACAAAACAGGAAACAGGAAAAAGCAGAAGGCAGATATTAAAAAAATGCTCAAACTGTCAGAACCCAAGATGATCTCACACCTATGCAACATGTCAGTGAAATTAAAGTAGGAGGCATGACAAGGGATAATACACAACAGCTGGGGAGGAGCATGGGCGATAATAGAAATCACTGGGGAGCTTCAGGTGTGGGCTGAGCAGGGCTTCTCTGACTGGGCTTTCTCTTTCACTGAGGGGGGTGATGTCGACGAAGTTCCTCCAGGCTGGTTTGTGATGTTATGATGTTATGTGATGTGATGTTATGTCATGGAAAATTAAAATAAAGAATTTAGTTAATATAAATTACATATTAAGACATGGGCATTAAATATCATTAACCACCTATTTGGTTCAGGGAAAAAATGTGCAAGTTAGCCTTTAAGTGGAGTGTGCTATATCCACCATCAAATGAATCCAAATGAATGAGTGCAGTTACAGTTGCACAAACAGAGCTTTTGGATAAAACACATTATTGGCTTTTACATTTCCAGCTGATCAAGCCAGTAATTCTAGTAAGTGTAGAGGCTGGGGAGTGTGGGAGGAGTAAGGATTAGATGGGGGGGGGGAGACAGGCGTCTGTCAGGGGAATGCAATGCTTTCCCCCCAAAACTGCCCCCTTTCCAGTTTATTATTGCATATTTGGGCTATTTTCTTTAATACTGGCACTTTGGCTTTTTCATTTTTGTTATTGTCTATTTTTATAATATATTTATTTTGAGAACGTTTTTCTGAGTAAAATTTTTGGTAGGTCTGTTGTATTTTGATATCGTTGCAGCTCTGGTGTAATGTGCCATTTTTATATTTTGAGTATTTAATGAATAGCCATTTTGAAATGTGTGTGTTTAGGGATGAGAGGTTGGGAGCTACCAGTCCCTACCAGTGTTGAAACCAAACCTTTGCCCTTGTTTCAAGGGGGTTCCTACAGATTTGTCATTAAGATGAACTATGCCCTTGTGTGCCCACTTCAGGGCCCCAGGTAATTGCCCACCTTGCCTATCCTGTTGCTATGCTTTTGTCCGCAACCCATGAACTAGCACTAAAGTGATGTTGGTCGTTTTGGAGTCAAAGAGAAGGCTCTCAGTTGTCTTATTACTCTTTAGATACCTGAAGTCTTTACTTCAAATTGTCTTTGTGTCACAGATCAGCTCAGGGAGATCCCTTCAATGTTACATCTCCCACGCTGGCATTTCCCATCCCATCAGTCATGCCCTCCAGGAAATCACAACCCGAAAACTCCGCCCAGTCAGGCCCCAGCCCTTTCCTTTGGTTCACTGGTGCTTTCTATGTTCAACTACGCCTCTTCCCAGCTGCTATGGATTTTGCAATCTTCATCCACTATTTTATTCCCATTTACCTGCATGTACCAACACAAGACCTTCTCAGTTTCTGAGTTGGAGCGTTTCGCTGTGCTTTTCCCTGTTACCACTGTGCCCCTAGACTCCAAGTTTGCCCTGCCCTCCGATCGTCCGTTCACCTTTCATCTGACCTTTGCCTGTTTAACAACCCCTTCTCTGTCTGACGTTTTTGAATACTGTTTTTGCTCACTCTGGTTCTGACTTGGATTGTTGACTGTTTTTGTCTGCAGGATTAAAGTCCCCGATCGTCAGATTTAATCCACCCCTGAGTCCATTTTTCCCCGCACCACATCACCCTTTATATATATGTGGCAAATGACAAGATTACTTGCATTCTGTTATCTTTGTGTACATTCTGGATTGGAAATGTTAATCAGTTCAAAATAGCTTTTGACTCTTCAGTGCCTTGTAAGTAAACAAAAGATTTCTTGTATCTACTGGATGGACATTAGATAAGTTATAATATGGTCCATCTAATTGCAATTTAAACTCATTTTTAAATACAAGCAAAGCTATGTTTATCGCTAAATGAGACAAGATGGTCTTGTGATATCCCAGAGTCCAAGAATTCAGGTTACAACCATTTGCAAGCATTTTCTATGATTACCAGTAGAGGGTACTCATTCTCCTTTTGAGAAATATATAGTTATGTTAAGGAAGCGTCCTACGTGCCAATTACTGAAGCAATGGTGTCATTTTTAGAATGGGGACTTTTGAAGTGAAATTTCCTTAGAATTCTTGTAGGTCAAGAGCTTGAGATTAGAAGAAGAATGAGCATGAAAATGGAGCAGGCAACCAAACTCCAAATAGTCTTCCAGAGTCAATATGGGTGGCTTTTGTCATCATGCTAAACTAAAATCTGTTGCTTAGTATAGGTGCTAGATAATTACTAGACCTGTGATTTTTAAATTACCAGACCTGTGATTTTTAAAACATGGTTTTCCCTGACACAGCCTTATCATTACATTGTGGATATACAGAAAATGTTCAATAACAATGTTGACAACCAGGAGTAAAGTACTATATATTTTAGGCGTTTAAATGTCCCCATAATATGATAAAAACCAGTTACTTGTCAGCGTGTGGAGACATTTTTTCAGGTCCTCACAATATAAACCTCAATTTTATAAAAATCTGTGATTCTTTTTATTTTGTTTGATTACTTATGGTTAAGGTTAGGGCTGGGTATGGGTCTAGGTTGTCATAATTGAAATAAGGGTTTTGCCCATAGAAATGAATGGAGAGTCCCCACAAAGATATAGATTATTAATTTCTGTGTGTATGCGCGCATGTGCACGCATGTGTGCATGTGTGTGTGTGTGCAAACTCCCCCTGTGATAAACTGCCGTCCTGACCAGCATGTTTATCGGAATAGGCATTAGCTCCCCCATCCATCCTATTGGGAAAAAGTTGCTGGAAGATGGATGGAGTTATTTATCAGGTACTTGGATTCAGGCTTCATGTGCATGTGCATGTAAGCTACACACACAAATGGCATATACCCAGCCAATCAGTGCTTCTCTTTCATTGTTTAAGAAAAAAAAAAAATCTCAAAGCTCCCCTCCCTCATCCACCAGAGGGAGAGTATATGGCATCATAATAGTAACAGATACAGAGTAAAAGGAGGCTGAGTTTAATTCAGTCTGTAACCCTACTATTCCCAAAGGACAGAGGTGGGGTCAATATCCAATATTATTGCACCCAGCTCCGTCTCACTTACGCAAAGTCAGCCCTTAAGCACCTGCCCCATGACTGCGGGGACATTGGTGTCCTTGGTGTCCTCACATATAGATCTGCATGAAGCAGACTGGTCACAGGTATATCTGAAACCCGCATTCTCTCTGTTTGAATGCCACCTCTTGGTAAAACCTAAGCCTGTTACAGCTCCTTCAGTTTTATCTCTTTTCCTCTCTTGGTTTCACCTTCCATTCTTCCGTTGCATCCGTACATTTCTCCACATCTTATCACCATTCCCGATTCTCTTTGTCTACTTCACCTGCCTAGCTCTTCCACATGACCTCTGCCCCCCTCTCGTCGCATGCCGTATCCCCCTGTCCTTTGTCTCTTTCTCTCCGTCTCTCTCTCTCTCTCTGTGGCTCTCTGCAGCTTATGCATCCTCTGTTTTTTAATTAAATAGAAACACAGAGAGCCAGGCTCCACCCCGGTCCCTCCCCCTCTCTGTGTTCGCCAGTGATGACACACACTCTGACTTGTGCTGGAATTCATAGGGAAAGAGAGAACAGGCGAGAGATACAGAAACATCTCGCTTCGCTGAAAGGAGAACCTCCTATTTGCTCATTCCAGTTACACACGCTCCCTCGCTCTCTCTCTCTCGTGCTTTTTCAGTCCAGCGCACACACGACTCTGATGTTCAAGGGGGCAGAAGGCATTCTGTGGATTCAGGGTATCCAGTGAAGAGGAAGAGGAGCGGAGATGGAGCCCCTAAAGACACTGGGAAGGATGCAAAGAAGTGCCAGGTTTTCTTAAGTAAAGAGATGCACGAGCAAAGGTGGAGGGAGCAAATGGGGGGAATGGAAAGCAAAGAAAATGAGATAGAAGGGGAGGCACTGGCGAGTGAAGGAGATCAGCAGTGAAAGTACTGAGACATGTGAGAGAGCCCTGACCTCTTCTCTTCACTTACTGGGGGGACTCATCCCCACTCCACCTCCCAGTCCAGCTCAAGCCAGGAAAAGAGACAAGACTAGAAAAGAGGAAGGAGCAGGCAAGAAAAAGGACTCTTTGCCGTTCTCATCCCTTATTCAGGTGCAGAGTGCAGCTGACGGTGAGTTGTGATGTTTTCTTCTTTTTCAACTGTGCTCTCACCCCGAGCCGTTCTTTCATTCCGGCTCCCTATGCAGGAAACCCTACACAGCACAGCGCTAGGCGCTAACCCTATAAGCATGCATGGTACGCTGAGCAGTATACATCGCTACACTGATTAGCACACACAGCAGAGCGTACACATGTCCCACTGGGGACACCACCTGTCCCATCTGGTCCTGGAGGCATCCCAATCTTACTGTTGGCCTCCAACGTGTGACCCTGGACTCCCGTTCGGTGGCTGAACAGCGGGGTCTGTTACAGGGTGTACTGTACTGAGGCTCTCCAGTGGCAGTCCCACTATGGTCCTCGCACACTTGGCTAGCCGTAGTTCTGCTAACTGGGAGGAGCGCCCCTCTGTGCACTGTTAGTGATGCTGGAATGGGATGAGTGGAGACTATGCCGACTGGTCTCTGTGTTCGTCATCTAGCCTGCTTTACATGCGACCACGGCCGATACAGCCCTGATCGGCAATATCCGCCAGCAGCCAAGCCGTCTGGGTAACAGCTGAACAGGAATCTAAGAGAGGGCCAAGGCAGGACAGGTGAGGCAGGAGGTGCTTAGGGTGGAAGTGTGTCTGAAACAGCTTTCAGGACTAATCAAAGAAAGTTTCCAAAAAGCCTCAGCTCTCATGAATGGGGATGACCTCAGTTACCATTGTGTAAGACTCATTATAATAGAATCATAATACATGCGCAGAATACCTTCTATCTATCTATCTATCTATCTATCTATCTATCTATCTATCTATCTATCTATCTATCTATCTATCTATCTATCTATCTACTTCTATCTATCTATCTATCTATCTATCTATCTATCCATCTATCTATCTATCTATCTATCATTTATTTATCTATCTATCTATCCATCTATCTATCTATCTATCTATCTATCTATCTATCTATCTATCTATCTATCTATCTGTGTGTGTGTCATGTGAAGGTACTTCTATAAGATACCAGGGCATTGAAGTGTCACTCTAACATGTAACTGGCAGCATGCCAGTAGGTGTGTGTGTGTGTGTGTGACTATGAGTACACAGGTGTGAATATACATGTGTGAGTACACAGGTGTGAGTATACATGTGTGAGTACACAGGTGTGAGTATACATGTGTGAATACACACGTGTGTGAGAGTGCCAGACTCCAGCTCTCACTGCCTACACCTCAGTCTTGTGTCCTTGTCAACATTTACTGTGCAAACAGCTTGCTTTATTTGTATAATTTTATGTCACGTTTATGCCATTCGAGGAAATGGAAAAAATCTGAGACACTCCAGTAAGGTGCAATGACATCTTTACGTCGCAGTTTATTATTCACGTTCACAAACAGGAAACAGCTCATAAACACAGGCAATTTCTAAATGTGTAGTTCCACATTTTTTTTGCCCATCAGTATTTTGTCTTTCCGCTATCTATCCCTGTGCTCTTCCTTCTGTCTCATCTGTAATTCCTTCACTGTTTCCACTTTAATTGACTCTCTGTGGATCCTGTCCTGTTATTTCTAACTCCACTCTCATCAGTTTTTACAGTCTCAGTCCTCTCAGCCTCCTGTTATTCCCTGTCATTGATCCGTGTTTCCATGCAGCAGTTTAAGATACAGGCGTAAGACATCACCCTTGTCTTTTCCTTCTTTTCCTTTCATCCCTTTGTCCTTTATTTCTTCCTGTCCACCTCCTCTGCTCCTCTCCTATGCAGCTTACTTTATGCATCCAAGATTTTTGCAAAACCGAATAAACAAAAAACGATTTAAAATAGTAAAGCAAAATATCATCACTAACCATCCTGGTGTTTTTGGCATGAAAGACCATTTAGTATACAAACTTAACCTCATTAGTACAAACAATCTGTGTAATCTAATGTATTTTATATAATCTAATGTAATCTATGTCATCTCATGTAATATAAGGCAATTGCTTCAACGAAACCAGAAGCACGTTTAGTTATCAGAATGGTGACATCCCTCCATTCGATTTCCTCTTTATTCCTCTTTTCATTCTCATTGTGGGTGTTGCTTCTTTTTAAGGGAGGATATGTACAGTCTAGCTATGCCTGTTCCCAGCCGTTCAGCCCACTCAGATCAATATGTCTGAGATGAATCCATCCCAGTTAACAGCTCAGTCAACACTAATACTTCTATCACCACCATGTAGGTTTAAGGGACAGGCAACACTGGTGCCCAATATAACCTATAGCTCTAGGTGTCAACCTTTATGTTGTATGGTGCACTCGTGCCCCATAAATGTTTCTTCAAATATAATTAATAATGCATCATCTACAGCAAACACAGCTGTATGTTTATAAGGTGATGTTGAAATCACAAGCTGCGTTGGGCATCTAATGGGTAGGCAAGTAATTTGCAAATAAGCTAAGAATGTTAAGATGAAAGTGTTCACCTACGTTTTAGGTTCACAGTTTCTTCATAAAGCTGTAATATGCTCTAAAGTTGGGATGAGAATGCAGTCACGAAAGGCGAGGAAAAGAAATAAAAGTGAAAGCTCTTCTCTTTATTACTGTTTCCTGAACATAATATCCAACCTCTATTGAGCTAAATATGAAATAATATTACATAATGTATTATGAATTTAACACGTCTCAGCTCCTAGCAGTACCGAATTAATTTAATTGAGTTGAAATGAGATGAAAGCATTCAGAGTTGAATCTATATCTGAACTCTACTTTTATAACTTTAATAATTAAACTCAAGTTTAAGCAATTGAATTCTGAGAAAATGACACTAGAGCCCCATCTTTGATTGGCAATTGAGAGTTTGACGGTTTGGCATCTATGGTGTTTAGACTCTGATTAACCTGTCAGAAGGAGGAATTCTCATATCTTTCACTGTAAAAATATGACATCTTTGTATCTTCATCATGGGCCACTGCAGGCAACATTTCTTCTTACTTACAGCTTCTCCCCATCTGCCTGTCTCTGACTTCTCTAAAAATATATTTGTCCGTGTTTACCTCCTTCACACTCGCTCACTCCCCTGCCTTTCCCGCTCTGTACACGTCCGATAAAGTTAGCCACGCTCTGACAATCCAATCTGACATCACTTTACATAACAATTCAATCTGTGCCGAGCTCTCTGCTGCCTCCACTTCCCACTCTAAGCACATTCGGTTCACTTCGGAGGTGCTTCATGAGTATGAACTGCACTTTCAGTATCACCAGGCGCACAGGATTCATAGCTGGGCATTGACGGGATCACTGGACTGTTTGATCTGGCCTCCTTTTGCAGTTTAGATGCTTCACATCCTCTAGATACCAGTGTGGCTTGATCAAAACAAACACTTCGCCCCCGCAGCTCCACACACCTTTTGCTATCAAATGTCACATGCTCAAGTTTGCTTGTGAAGGAAAATTTCTGTAAAATATTTTCAATGAAGGGTTTCACACTTAATTAAAAAAATGCCATTAATGTTTGCCTTAGCTTAGTTGTCAAGCTGGACAGGAAAAGTCCTTTGTGTTCCTTGGAAAACATCGATAATAATGCAATTTCAGCCACATTGCTCTCCTGCACTGGGTACCTGCCCTTTCTACTAAGGCACAGAGACATGTTACAAGCATGAGGGAACAGTTCAGCTTGAGCTGGAGAGAGTCCAGGGGAATCATTAAACTGTCAGCATTCACTTTTTTTGTTCCAGCGGGGGTGTAAAACTTAGATAGTGAAGGCAAGAAGGCCCTATTGGGGGGGGGGGTGGAGCATAATGGGGAAAGGGGGGTGGGAAAACAATGTGAGTCAGCAGAAAATAGAAATAAAGGTAAGGGAACGTAGAGTGTGGAAGGTGGGGGGGGGGGTGCAAAAGCATGGATGAGAAATATCTGATAATGTAGTGATGGTGGAGTTGAGGGCAGGAATTGGTATACTGGGGGTGGGGGGATGGGACTGACAGATGAAAGTACGTGCTGAGACCAGGCTTTCAACATTGGTAGGGACTCAATCAGCCCCGAACCCCCAGTCCCAATAAACACACACAGTACTCGCACAATATTGGTAGGGACATGTCCCTACCATCCACACCAAAATCTACGCTCTTGGACAGGAAGACAGGATTGGGTTTGGAAAGGAAAAAAAAAAAAACCAGATCACTGTAAGCAGAATCCAAAGCAAGGAGAGAAAACTTTAAAATCACTTTCTAGAAAGGTTTGATGCATTGTATGTTCAAAAGTATTGGGCCGCACCAACCAATCATTGAATTCAGGTATTTCATTCAGACCCATTGTCAGAGTTGTATAAAATCAAGCACCTACAGTCAAGTTTACAAACATCTGCGAAAGAATGGGTTGTTCTGAAGAGCTCAGTGAATTCAAGCACGGTGCTGTCATAGGATGCCACCTTTGCGATGAGTCAGTTTGTGAAATTTCTTGCCTGCTAGATATTCCACGGTCAACTGTAAGTAGTATTTTTGCTAAGTGAAGTGTTTAGCAACAACAGTAACTCAGCCAAGGAGTAACAGACCACATAAAGTAACAGAGCGGGGTCGGCAAGTGCTGAGGCACATAGTACGTAAGTCGCCAACGCTCTGTTGACTCAATAACTGCAGAGTTCCAAACTTCCTCTGGCATTAACTTCAGCACAAAAACTGTGCGCCAGGAGCTTCATCAAATGGGTGATCCATGGCTAAGCAGCTGCATGCAAGCCTCACATCACCAAGTGTCAGATGGAGTGGTGTAAAGCTTGCTTCCACTGGACTCTGGAGCAGAGGAAACATGTTCTGTGGAGTGACGAATCACGCTTCTCTGTCTGGCAGTCTGATGGACGAGTCTGAGTTTGGCAGATGCCAGGAGAACAGGAGAACCTAACTGACTGCATTGTGCCGACTGTAAAGTTTGGTTGAAGAGGGATAATGGTATGGGGTTGTTTTTCAGGGGTTGGGCTCGGCCCCTTAGTTCTAGTGAAGGGAACTCTTGATGCTTCAGCACAGCAAGACATTTTGGACAATTCTATGCTTCTAACTTTGTGGGAATAGTTTGGCGAAGGCCCTCTTCTGTTCTACCATCACTGTGCCCCAGTGCACAAAGCATGGTCCATAATGACATGGTTGAATGAGTTTGATGTGGGAGAACTTGACTGGCCCGCATTGAGCCCTGACCTCAACTCCATCAAACACCTTTAAGATGAACTAGATTCATCAAACACCTTTAAGATGAAACATTCACTCTTGCAAGTGAATGTTTGTCCAGCTAATCACAACAATGCTGCTTTTAGTTTGATCCTGGTATTTTAATGCTTGAAAATGCAGGCACTGCAGCTAAAGGTGACACATATTATGACATGACACCCAGAGGCTAAGTGTCATGAGATACAATTTTAAGTCTTAAAATATGACTTTCAGGCTGTTCTCCTTCAATAAAGTGACATCCCTGAGTTTCTGATAGGAGAGCCTTTCAGACACATCTATCCAGACTGTCACAGATACTAAAATATATAAAACCAGTTTATAAATATCTTGACTCCATACAGTTAGATTATTTACAGTTGCTGTTTATTTGATTTATTGTGCATCTGAAATTCACTCTGTTGCTAGTGAACGTATTGCATACTCTCCATTACCAAGAGTGTGATGGATACATTTCTATAATGAGACTTTCATTTGAGCTATTTGTCCCAGTGAGAGGGATTGATGCAAGCTTGATTGCTGTGATAAACTGGCTCACTCGTAGGCTGGGATTCTGCATGCCCCTTTATACTATTTCCTGAGTGTGTAAGCCAGGCATACTGTGAGTAGCTGCATTTCTTGCAGCATCAGTGTGCACTTATGCATATTCCTACATGTCTATCTGAGCTAGGCTTTCACTAGTTAGAACCAGCACAGTCATGAGATGACAGCTTTATTTTAAGTCATACATCAGACCCTTAATCCACTCATCTGAGGAATAAAATATATGATAAAATATAATGTTAGAGAATTTAGGTATGTTTGATACATGTGATTTTTGTTGATTGACTTTTTGCAACTTGTGTTTGCAACCTGTCAATTACCTGAAATGACTTATATGTACATGTATACATGCTACAAAGTCAAGTATTCAGAAAAAAAAAGGTTCTATTATCCATGGAAGTGGCCACTTTAGGGAACAGAATATCATCCATTTCCTTTGCAACAGCTCAGTGTCAAGCTAATAAAGGTTCAGTATGTGCTGAGTAGACCTATCAAACCAAGGAAGCAGCATCAAATTATGCAGCACCACAAGGAAAACTCCTCATGATTCATCCTCTCAATCAGACGTGTTGATTAAATTCCCTAATTATCTAGAATAATACGGTCTGTTTGTTCATCATCACCTATGAATTCAATTAGCTGATCATTGCAACATAATGCACCTTGTAACCCAAAATTCACTTACAAACAACAACAAAAAAAAACTTATGCTAAGTTCACACTACATGATTTTAGGCCTGATTTTCCACTTGCCAAAAGTTTTTGGCAATCGATCCGATCAGAGGCAATTTGGTGTGCGCTTGCCACTTGCAAATCAGCGCTCAATCGCTGTTAGTTCAAAGATGCAGCCGGACAGTCAGTAATGCGTTGCAGACACCCATCAGATATCTAGAAGACCTGTTGACAACTCGAGGTCCTGTAGTGTGAAAGGTGTCACGACTGGCAGTGAAGCGTGGTGACGAGCTACAGCCAATGAAAGGGCAAGACACGGGGTTAGGTAAGTCCGAGGAAGGAGTTTAAAAAAGGTGTAAATAGTTCTGTTTCTTTAGAAACTGTTCTTAGTGTTCAGGGAAGAAGTATGGGTTGATTCCATCAAATCGTTGCCACTTGCATGTTAAAATTTTTCAATTCTAAATTTCAATTTCATTATTTCATTTTTTTCAACACTGTATTTAAATATTCAAAGTGTACACTGGTCAAACTCAAGTAACTTCATTTCATTCTTTATTTAATTTTTTCTAGGCTTTTAAATGGAACATGGTTGCATTTTTCTCAATCCTGTTACCAAAACCTCAAGCAACTGTTCAAGTATCATTAGAAAATCATATCAACTAGTTATTTTGTGTTCAACAAAGTGTGTATTTGAAAGATTGGTTGCATGTTCAAAAAATATATATTTGTAGTTAAAAAAACATTATATATGCGTGCAAGTTGTACTTTTCTTTTTGTATGAGTAACTAGACTGAAAGTAACGGGAGTTTTATCAAAAACTTGGCAAATTTAAGAACCACAGCCACATGTCATCAAACATAATAGTAAGATAATATTAAGGACATTCAAGTAACTTAACAAAAATGTAGTGTAGAATAATTAAATAAATTAAATCTTAATTATTTGGGTAACAAGATTGAGCACTGAGTTCGACCACCTCAGACATACATACAATATCATCAAAAATACAGTAACGACAGTGAGAGAACTTACTTTTGGCGTTCCTGTGGTCTTCAGGTAACTGAGGTGATGCAGTTAAATATGCCACATTTTTTTAGGGGCAGATATATAATGGGACTGAGTGAAAACCTGGGGACACAATTAATATTGTATTTTAACTATCACATTATTGATTTACTATAAGTAAAATATATATAAAGCGTTAATGGGAAATACCTTCACAGAAAAATACAAAAAAAGATTTTTGAAGGTTTTTAATCATATTTCATGGTGAAGTGTGGCATTAGTGAGCAGCGACAGGTGACATTCTCTATTTTTTCAGTGTTCTAAGTAGTTTTCATTAACGTTTTAAATTACGTATGTTAAATTTGCAACAAGAACATTGTGGAAGACACTTTGCTTGATAATAACATGTATTATAAAGCTACTTTTTAATGCATATTTATACGTATAATGTCCTGGGGACAGAAATGCCACTGATTCGGTGGAATGGTCCGTATAGGGATATTCAGTTAAAGTTTACATTTCACACACTTGCGGTGAATTGTGGTTTTAATCCGAGATGGTGCAGGAAAGGTCTCTGCAAGTGCGTACTCATTCCTGGTAGCACCGTACCTCGTATATAGAGAGTAACAATGAATTTCTTCTTTTTCAGGCTCACTATCTTTTTCTGGGAGATGAAGCCATAAGAATGGAGAAATAGAAGTGAAGGAAGAAGAGGAAGCAAGAAGAAGTAGCTAGCAGAATGATGCATTGTGGGATTGTGGGCTGTGCGATGCATGCTCACACATTCTGCTCTCAGTACAATACAAGGTAGCCAAATGAATGGAATCATGGTGGTCAGAATTTATCTCAAGTGCTTTTACATGAAACTCAGAGAATGGCTACATCATTGGCTTTTTTCATGTTGATGAGAACCATGAATGGAATCCATGGAACTATATCCCAGATTAATTTCACTGAGGACCAAAACAAATAAATGTAAATAGATGAAGAACTTAAATTATTAATATGCTTCTTCATCTTTGGCAATTGACTTATCTCATCACAGGTAAAGCGACTCACTTTAGCTCTATGTCACAGTGCTGTGTTTTAGACAGTAGAGGATAGAGTTATGGTCAGCAAGGAGCCAAGCCATCTTCCAAACACTAATAGCAGCAGCAGCAACAACAACCTGGAGAAAGTGGTAACCGTGCGCTCTGTCCTGCTGAACCGCGACTCGCCGGACATTGAGACGCGGCTCAAACGCCGGCGGAACCGCACTCAGCAGGTTCGCTTTAAAGATCTCGAAGATGGGGGGCCTGAATGCTCAGGGAGATGCCGGTCCCTGGCTGAGCGGGGCAGTCCACATCCTAACCGCAGATGCCCTGTCGTTGTCTCCTTATCTCCCAGTAAGGAGCTATGTGAGAGAGATGTGAGGAGGGAGTTGACTGCAAATGGTGGCTCGGTGGTAGGGGTTGTTAGGGGAGACATGGCAAAGACTATTGGGGCAGTTGCGGCCAGTTTGGCCAAGGCACCCCCACATCCTCTGACGCCAGGGCCCACACGCCGTGTGTGGGCTCCCTCATGCCCTGGATCCCTCACCCTGCCTAGCTCTCCACGTGCCTGTATGAGCACAGCCATCCAGACCTCCCCGAGCCTGCAGAAGCCCTTGCCATTCTCCATGCTCCAAACCCGCAGCCATAGTCTTGGGGACTTTGTGGATGGGGAAGTCCAGGAAGATTGGGTGGGTAAAAAGACACTCTCCCAGAACCATGTGCTTACCTCTGGGGCTGCTCAGGATGACTTATTCAGTTACTTTCCAGAACATCTTGAAGATGATGGGCTTCTAGCTGAAGCCCATGGCACTTGCCCACTGAACTCCAGCCCAGGTCAAATGGTAGAGTGGCACTCTTCCTGCTCTCCAACATCTACTATGAGAGCCTCTAATGGACCTGACCTTCTTGCTTCATCACCCCTCAAAAGCCATGTACTGAGTGACCCTAACAAATTACAGCCAACCTGTTCCACAGCTCCTGAGTTTGGACAGGCCAGTGCTCTTATTTCTGAGACTAGAAAAAGTAGCTCAGATCAGAGTGGGCTATTGGACATTGCTGTTCCACATGCTGGAGTGAATGGCACCCCCACTTCCCCAGCTACATCAACCATGACTTACATTTCAGAAACTGGATTGACAAGCACCCCTCTTCCTCAATCTGAGCCATCCTCTTCCTCCAATGCTGAAATGTTAGTATCCATCTCCTCTCCCTACAAAACTTCCCAAACTTGTACCTCAGTCCATCACACTGTGCCCCCAAATACTTTGCCAACCAGAATAAGCCCTCTGTATCTCCCAACAGTTCCAATGGCAGTACCTTTTAGCTTCCCTGCAAGGCCTACATTTACCACTCAGGACACAGGGAGGGGTGAGGAACAGGTAAGGGGGAAGAGAAGAGAACTTCCTTTGCCTCCTCCACCTCCACCTTATACCCCACGCCGAGATGGGCACGGCCCCCAAGGACTAAACAACAGACCAACCACAACCAACTGTGGTAGTGACCATGAGAAGAAGCCAAAAGCACCAGCATACTTTCCAGAAGGTGCACACATGCACCCAAAAGAGGCCAGGTACCCTCTAGGACTGGACCCCAAAGCTTCACCAGCTGGGTCAGCCCAAAGTACACCTTACCACAGCCAACCCAAGTTTGGGGATGTCTGCACATCCTGTGCTAAGACCTACATTAGATCTCCCAGTACAACTAATGACTTGCGCTGGCAGCTTATGGGCCAACTGGCTCCGTCGGGTCCCTGGATGCCGACACTCAACCGCATTACTGACACCTCTTTGACTCCTGACCAGGCTGAGACACTGAAACATGTGCAGGAGCTGCTGGGAGGGTTGATGTCAGGCACATGCAGCAAACTGCAGCTGTCCGAGGCCCGAGAGAAACTGCTCGGGCCCCAAGGGGCCCTTCACAATGTCAGGGGCCTGCAGACACAACTGCAGAGCTTGGAAGGAATTCTGGAGATGAGTCAGAACACCATCAAGGTTCTGCTGGATGTCATCCAGGACCTGGAGAGGAAAGAGGCAGAGAGAGATGGGTGAGTCTTTTCGGACAAAATCAAAGCCTGCATCTCTAATGCCGTGACACTATGTCGTGTGTTAGCTGGAGATGTTTAATTTAGTCAGCTGTTGATCTGTTGCTGGAGTCACATTGACCTTTTGCAATCTAGAACAATAAAGCTGTCCAGCTGATGAACAAGTCAGGCTGCATCTTTTCCCACTTATTTAATATGAAGTTAAAAGCCCTTTGAATCGGGTCGCTCAGTTATTATGAGGATGGTCTCCGAAGCTTTCAAAATATATCCGTGGGTATATTGTATTTTTATTCAAGAGTACAGAGTAGAAAAAAGGAATAAGTATGTGTGATTGCACTGATAAAGCATCATACTCCAGGCAACAGAATTTGGTATCTGTTTTGAATGACAAAGACAATCATTCTATAAAACTAAACGGCCTCAATGAGTTCATAACAAGCAGAAGGTGAGTCCTGAAATGTCGTGATCGCAGCTGGTGGTACACAGAGTCATCTTACAGGGAAACTCTCCAAGCCAGGCTTAAATGGGTCATGGTATTTCTCCTTACCTATGTTTAAGAGCCTCAGAGGGACCTCAGATTTTGCTGAGAGATGCTATAACTCTGCTGTGTGTCAGTGTGTGTGCGTGTGTCTGTGTGTGTGGGTCGGTGGGTGGGTGTACAGTAGCTGTGCCACACATAGCCTTTGACTAACAGGACTGTGAACCATTCAGTTGCACCACATGATTTTTAACACAAACGGTGGGTGATGATGGTGCTCTTCAGACAACTAAGACAATCACATAGCAATGGGCCACAAAGAGAAACCAACAAGAAAAAAAAACAGATGTAATACAACTTTACTTCTATTTACAGTGCATTCTACTCTTTTTATTTGGTATATACATATTGGTAAATTTGAAAGCTGCCAAAATGTCAAGAAAAAATTAAATATCGCTTCCCTGAACAATGTTAAAGGAAATTACAGACATTTAATGATTCCTTTTCACTAATAAGTGGAATTCAATCACCTTAATACCACACCAGTGGAGTTCTGACCCATTCTTCAGTTCCCTCCTGCAGAGCTGGCATGCAAAACAAACACATCAAGAAAGCCAAGACACACCGGTTTGTTTTCAAAAGTTATTAGGACAATTTCACTTTGAATGGTAACAGTGACCTGAGCACCAGCACAATGAAATACCTCTCTATGAGCTTTCTTGCACACCAAAACATCTCAACATATTTAAACAGCTGAATACCACATCTTAAAAGCCAGAAAAACCATAGCCTTGCAGCTGCGCTGGCAACAACAAAGACTGAACATACATTTTAATACAACTGCTGTTAGCAGAATGTCAACATACTTCAGACACACACTGTCGTTATACAATGAAACTTAGGGAAGAGCATTGAAACATCAGCTTAATATCAAGTCACAGAGAACATGAAAACAGGAGCTATGGTTCTATCAAAAGAAGGTCCTTTTAGCCCATTTTTTTCTGAATTCCCTTAGTGGATTGTGTCAGAGGGCAAGATATCTTGATCTATTTTTTTTAATCTTTATTTATTTTGGGGGGTATTTACAGAACATATAACTAGGACAGAACTCTGGAGATGCTAAATACAGAAGAAGCAAATTGCTGCTCAGTGCAGCAGACTGGAAGGTTGGGTTATATTTCTCCTGCAAAGCCAGAAATGCAGTCACATATGTACAGTTATACAGTTATACAGTTATACAGTTATACAGTTATACAGCACTACAGAGCCTGCATGCCATCCAAATAGTGTAACATTACAGGGAGAAACTTCCTCCCAAAAAAGTTAATTGCATGTGCACTATAGACATTATAAGCTACTGTAAAATACATATTTTTACATAATGACCTTCAATGACAGGGATAGTAGTATGAGAAAGTACTGCTGAAACAATTATAGTTTTTATATTGTAAGAAGCAGAAACAAGCCATATAACCATATAGGAAGATATAATAAGACAATATGTTTTAATAGGTTTTGAGGTTTGTTTTGATAGCAGTGTGACTATCAGCCTCTGGGGTTCTGGCTTTGTGTATGCGTGGGTTTTCTTCTGTGGTCCAAAAACCGATCAAGGCATCCTGTTCTAACCCAGTGCTTCAGGACAGACTATAGACTGACTGTGACCCTGGCCACATACAGTCAGTTCTGTTAAAATGTGACAAATGAGTTCCTGAAAAACCTCAGGTTTACTGAAATCGCATACTGAAATACACATATCCAACTGGAAAAAGAGGGGAAGGGGAACACAGCTCCAAAACTTAGGTAGACCAAACAAAATGAATACCGGTGATACCGGTGGCCAATTATTTAATTATGTGCATTTTAAATAAGAAATAATAATAGTAATACATTAAGACATTATATCATAAACATCTCCTGTGGGTCTCATTAGTGTCATGAGAATTGCCTAGTAATCGCTTGAACTGAACTTGCCGAACTCACTAACTTGTCGTTTGCCAAGAGTTGGACGTAGTGAGCCACAGTCACCATGCGGCCGGGCATGCACACAGCATAAAATCAACAGGTTGCTGTGTGTTTTTATATGATAATTTGTCAAATATTTTTAGAATCTAAAGACCTGTGCAATGTGAGGATTTACAAAAAGTTTGATTCTTTTAGATTTGAAAACTGGTTCAACCAATTCACTGAAAAAAAAAATAGTTCAAGATAACGATTTCTTCATGAAACAGACATTGTACTTTGCGACAAGTGCTTTTGCCTCCTGAAAATCACACAAACACAAATGCGACTGTATTGGACTTGGGTACTAATTTATCAATCGCATTTGAACAGATTTGCAGTGTGATATCACACATTGTAGCAGGACTGACTATCTGCCTCTCCAAATTTTGAAGATAGCATTTTTTTTTTTTGGGGGGGGGGATGGGATGGGTATGTATTTTACATTTCTGTCTTTAAAAGAGAATAATATTACTTTTGAAATTCATCTTAGCACTGATTAATCTTTAATGAAAACAACTGTAAAAAGAAGCAAAAGCAATGATTCCTTTCAAAAAGATGCAGAACTACAGAAATGGAGCTTACTTGCGGGTAGCTATAAAAAATTAAATTGTTGATTTAAGCTGAAAGTGAAAAGCTTAGCTGAATATGATACCCTACATTGTGAAAGTATATAGATTCAGGCAGTTGCTATGGATACTAGGAGATATAGAAATATGCAGGCTGCAGGGATATCCCAAATACCTGTGTGTGTGTGTGTGTGTGTGTGTGTGTGTGGGGGGGGGGTTCTCCTTTTGGCCTGACTCCCTAGAGATAATCTGCTGTAACGGAACTGCTATAATTATTAAACTCCTGAATGTCATTTTCTGAATACAATGCACAGCTCATCTAGTTACTTCTCTTAGTCAGGGTTCTGGGCTGCATATTGGTACAGCTTTATGTAAGAAGGACTTGAGGGAAGGCATTTTTATGAAACAAATGGGATTTTACTGACTTAATACTAAACAAACAGACTGGAAATAAATTGAACAGCGAGGGATCAGACTACTGTGAGGAAGGACACAGACTGACAGGGGAGTGACGTTACTGACTGGACAGGGGAACATGATACTTGGAAGCGCGTATATACACATGGTGTGGGACTTAGGGCAAGGCCCAGTGGGTCCCACTCCAAGCCCTCTGGCTGGGCATCATCTGGCTTGGCCCAGCCTGGCCTGGCAGTGGCCAGGGAGTCAGGCGTTGGCCTGGAGGCGGCGGCCGGAGAGTCAGGCATCGGACTGGCGGCGACTGCCAGGAGATGAAGAGGCTGCCTGTGGCTAGCTCAAAGACCACGAGGGGACGGCCAAGGTGATGACAGGAGATGAGGCTGGAGCGAACGGGGCATCAGGAGACGGGCCTGGAGCCGACGGGGCATCAGGAGACAGGCCTGGAGCCGACGGGGCATCAGGAGACGGGGCTGGAGCCGACGGGGCATCAGGAGACGGGGCTGGAGCCGACGGGGCATCAGGAGATGGGGCTGGAGCCGACGGGACAGCAGAGACGAGGCTGGAACCGACGGGACAGCGGAGACGGGGATGGAGCCGACGGGACAGCGGAGACGGGGCTGGAGCCGACTGGGCATCAGGAGACGGGGCTGGAGCCGACGGGACAGCGGAGACGGGGCTGGAGCCGACGGGACAGCGGAGACGGGGCTGGAGCCGACGGGACAGCGGAGACTGGGCTGGAGCCGACGGGACAGCGGAGACGGGGCTGGAGCCGAGAGTGTGTAGCCGGGACACCTGGATGCAAGCAGGGGCAGGGACGCATTTTGGTTTGGGAACCTGGGGCATGGGATAAACGGCACTCTCTGGGCCAGAAGTCTGAAGCATCGGCTAAGGGGGCCAATGTGCAAATCAGCGGTGAGCTGCAAGGAGCCAGCGGGCGGATCTGCAGCGAGCTGCGAGGAGCCAGCGGGCGGATCTGTTGCGAGCTGCGAGGAGCCAGCGGGCGGATCTGCTGCGAGCTGCGAGGAGCCAGCGGGCGGATCTGCTGCGAGCTGCGAGGAGCCAGCGGGCGGATCTGTTGCGAGCTGCGAGGAGCCAGCGGGCGGATCTGCTGCGAGCTGCGAGGAGTCAGCGGGCGGATCTGTTGCGAGCTGCGAGGAGCCAGCGGGCAGATCTGTTGCGAGCTGCGAGGAGCCAGCAGGCGGATCTGCTGTGAGCTGCGAGGAGCCAGTGGGTGGATCTGTGGCGAGCTGTGGGGAGTTGGCGGGCTGAGCCAAAGCAAGCTGTGGAGAGCCAGTGAGTATGACAGGGAAGCAGGCATGGGGAGGCATTTTAATGCAACAAAAGGGGTTTTATTGACTTAAAACTAAACAAACAGAGACTGGAAATAAATTGGATGGTGAGGGATCAAAACAAGAGAACTACTGTGAGGAAGGACATGGGCTGACAGGAGGAGCCATGTTAATGACTGGATAGGGGAACACAGGACTGGGAAACATATATATATAGTAGACTAACGAGGGAGACAACGAGAGGCAGCTGGG